TAAAGGCCGTAACGGCTGAATTGATTACAATGAAACTTTATAATTTACGAATGGGCCGTTCATGATACACGTTAGCACCTATAGGGGAGAGGGGGTCACTTACTGTGACAAGATGTGATGTGGGGGCCAAGAGAGGTCTAAGAAAACGTTACGTTCTCAGCTTATAAAACAATTATACAAATTTTTCTGCCGGTTTTCTTTTCGAATTGAAAACTTCTTTAGCGGCGTTGTACACTTTTTTGTAATGGGTAAAAAATGTTAAACTCGCGTCAGGACACGTGACCCTGATCGAAAATTCATAAGACGGATAGAGAGAGAGAGAGAGATAGAGAGAGAGAGAGAGAGACAGCCGGCGCGGCGTATGAGAGGAAGTATCCCCCTCTATTTCTACGATGTGGCGAAAATGTATGCCGCCTAAACGAAACAGCAGGCGCAGGGCGCTTGCGCCAATGTTCGTGTGAGATAATTAAAGCAATTCGTGCAAATTATTCCCTAATCATTCCAAAATATCAAAAATGCACAATATTGAAATAATACTAGTTTTTACGTAATTTATCGCGTAAGAAATCATTATAAAAATGCACAACGTTAATATTCAAGTTTTCACTTCTGCCGGCACTCCCGGAGTGCAACCCGTCGTTTTCTTTATTTTATTTTTTTGGTACGATAGAGTCATTTGTTTCATATATGTATATATACAAATATTCTACATATATATTTCCGTCACAACAACTTTTTATAGCTGGTCAGGCAGACATCGTTCCGCCCTTTTCGATGACAATTTGTCTTCCTATAAATCCTTTAAATCACAATAAATATATTGAGGGTTACTCATCGGGATATATGCTATTCTATTGTTATACAAGTTGGACCAAACTGTGTGCAAAATTTCGTTGAAATAAGTTAAGTAGTTTAGGACTTCATCGGGGACAAACAATGTGACACGTAATTTTTATATATAAAGATGTGGAGCGTATTTCTACGATTAATATGCATTATCTAATTTCGTTTTGCAGGGTATTGTCGCAAGGGATGTAGAGCAATCAGAGGCTTCGGCCGTTATCACAGATGGAGGCTTGGGTTCTTTTTTCGTCAAGCTTCGATTAGAGAGTGCCAGGGGTTCTGGACTTAACTATCAAATCGAAATTTACGCGGGATAACAGTTTGTAGTGATACACTTTGTGTTATTTATAGCGAAAACCGAAACTATGAGGAAACTAATTATTCATATTATTTTGTACTCGTACTTATGTTGCTTAAAATAATATTTCTGTAATCTCTTTATTATTATTAACTTTAATCATTTCTTTATTTAAAATAAATCATTCTAGTTAAATGAACCATTGTTTTCAATCCCTTAAAAAGCCTTGTTATGGGTACCTAACTCAATTCTAATTATAGTTATGGGAGTTATAGGTACTTACCTATAACTCCGTATTTATTTTCATGGTAATAACGTAAAACGTAACCAAGTACGTTTATTTTTATGATACTCTTACATGCATATTTTAAAATAATTAATATTTTTTACTACTTACTAGCACTAAAGTTTTGTATAAATATTTTAAAAAGTTTTGAATGAACTGAAAAAAAATTCAAATTAAAAAGGAGCAGGGGCGCCGTGGTAGCTCAGTGGTTAACGCTCGCTGTAAATATAACAGAACGCGAGAGTAACCCGGGTTCGATCCCCGCCGGCACCAATGAAATTGTTAATTGCAATTTTAAGTGCTGATTTACCACGTGCTCGGCGGTGAAGGAAAACATCGTGAGGAAACTTGCATGTCTGAGGAATAAGAAAAATATTTCGAAGACATGTGAAGTTCGTCAACACGCATTTGGGCAGCGCGGCGGACACTTCCTTGCCCTAAACCCTCTCAGAAAGGGGAGGCCTAGCCCACATGACGATATAGGCTGTACTTTACTTTTTAAACTTAGGGAAGATGAAGTGATCATCTAACAAATGCTTGGTAACAGAACAAAAATTGTCCGCAACCACGCAACCCCTGTTCACTCTCATGGGCGGCGGTGGTCGGCGGCGTACTCCCCCCGTCATCGAGAGTCGAGTTAGACGCAAAGAAAGAGCCTAGAATATCGGATTTCTCCTTTACGACATGGGCCAGTGAGTCGTCCTCACTGTGCAGAGATGGAAGAGATGGCTGTCATAAATTCCCCTGGACAGCCTTGGCGAGAGACCAGAATGCACGGGTTCCAGAAGGAGGGTGAACTAGTTTCTCGCCAATTCTGCCTATGTGCTCTAACTTTGCAATGACTCTTTTGAAGGACCTGGAGGCGGAATTATACTTCATTTTTAGAAAATGTCGTTTATCCGTGTTTTCAGGCAATGTAAAACTGCTATAATATCGTTAGAATACGAAGGTAAATCCAATATATAGATATTGGATTTACCATTAATCTATTATTTCGAGCCCTTTTTTTAGTATTTTATTAAAACAGCTAAATTTAAATTAAACTAATTGCACACATATTTTTTTATTCAAATAACCAGTTCAGGTTTTTCTATTATGTCGGTAAGATCAAAAAATATTATTCATATTTCATCAGAATGTAATTTGTTTCTAAATAAAATTTCCAAAACACGCGATTTCAATCTAGGTACTGTATAATCTGTAATACCTAATCTATGAAAGAAAGCATCCCGGCGTATTAGAAAATGTGGTCCAAATCCTAACTCCGGCTGCTGTTTAGAATTTTTTGACAGAAAACCCCTGCAGTGATGAGCACTCGCACTTACAAAGACTAGACCAACAGGACAGTCATGTCATAAACTCTTCTAACTCAAAGTCGTGAACTAAAGTGGAATGAAGTAGTTCTGCTTTAAGACGCGAATCTTGTAGCCGAGCCGCGTGGTGGTCGAAATTAACTTAATTCATGTAAACATATTTAATAATTTTTATTTTTTCTAAAATTAGCTCGAAGAACCGATAACCGATGAGCAAAAAAGATTCTCGTGTGGCAGCCTCGTACCGGTAGGCGAAGTGTAGAGCGTCCCTCCACTGGATGGAGTATCGTCCTGGTAAGACATGCTGGAAGTCGATGGATGCAGGTGGCTCAGAACCGTGCTTTGTGGCATTACTTGGGCGTGGTCTATGTTCAGTAGGGGATTTGTGAAGGGTGAATGATGATGATGAGGCAGGTACTATAAAAAATATATTATGTGATATACTGTCTTCAGCAGCAATGCGCTCATGCAGTAAGGGTCGCGCGGAGTCCTACTTTCGGCGTTAAATAAAAGTTATAAATAATGGTGAAATAATGCAGAGAGTCGGGACATTTGTATTGGAAATTTCCTCCTCTTTAATGATCGTTTTTGAAAGTTTCTGAATATGAATATATAATTTTAGAAATATTAAGGAAAAAATAATTCTTTTTTCATCTTATTTTGTTAATAACAATTGCAATTTTTTATATGCTAACGAATCCTCGAAATATATTTTTCTAGACGTCATTACGAATCGAATGAGCTTTCGAACATATTTTTAGGAGCGGGGAACAATAATTAGCATTTTTTTTATCTTGTTGACTGGACTAATGATGCAAAGTGAAAATACTAACTGTTAAATCTTCAACACTGTTCTGTTTTAGATGGAAAAAGAGGCTGTCCGTATGGTTAGAGCATTTCTTGTTGGTCAAAGAGATTAAATATTTGAATGATTGTAGTCCGACTGGCGCGCGGCAATTTTGACACGGCTGACAACGGGCCACACCGCTAAATACACGGCCCCCGGACGGACGACCCTATCCAAGAGAACTCCTCTCTATATAGACGGGAGAGTCGAGTAAATCCCACATTGCCGCAGCAAGGCCAACTCTGGCAAACACAAATATTGGACAACCTCTTTTTAATTTATAACTTACCCGACTGCGGCCAAAGCCGCTATTAAATTGACATCGCTTTTTCAACAACGGCGCCCAGGGCCGGCCTGCAGTAGTGGGTCGTGAAGAACGCCCGGGTAAAGGGGTATTCCCCGAGCCTCAAAAACTGCTGGGCAGAAAGCTCACGCAGAAGACCGTACTATTTGAATGCCTTTGTTGTTGATACACCACAATGACGGTTTGCCACCTTCACATAAAATGTGTCAATTATTTTTATTGCTTTCTCGTGAACATGCCACTTATAGCTGACCATGCAAAAATCTACTCACTCGTAGGTCTGTACCGAGTGTTGCAAGTGTCTTTCATCGCGATGACTCAACGGAGATTGAGTTTTATTAAAATGGAACGGGAAATTAAGGGTACACAGGTAGATGTGAAAAAATATTCCTCCTCCACTTCTACTATCTGATGGAATCATCACTTAAATTATATTTCGCTAAATATAAATGATATTTAGTCGAGTTCCATATTATAACATAATATATATATATATATATATATATATATATATATATATAATATTATATTGGTGGAATCAGGTGACGCAAGAGCACGTTTGGAATAGCAACCTTCAGTGAAATACTGTGACCAGAAGCATTTTAAGAATTCTAAAATGCAAAGGGTATTATTCATGGTGTCATACTGATCTATTAAAAATACAATAAACAGATTTAATGATATGTGAGTTAAAAAATTGCCGTACCTCACCCTCTCTCCCCCAATTTTTGTTAAAAACTGCATGTCAGTGATTAAATTAAAAAAGTATTTTATTTTCAAAAAGTTTTAATTAAAAAGTTCTTATATAACCATAATGATAACATTACATTTACATACAAATGCTTCAATTAATTTACTTAACTACGTCGTATCATATATTTTGATAAAAAGGAAGTGTTACCAATGGAAGTGGCAATATAAGAATATCCAATACTCCCTGGTTGTCCTAAGAAGCTACTGAGGGAAATAAACCAGGAAAGAACAAAAGAGGATATAATACGTGGGTGTCTCCGAGCCACAGTACTTTTTATATATAAAGTAGTCCATTTAAATTGTATATATACACCACTTCATCACCACATCACGATGGATGATAAATCCTAGTAAAGTCAAGTAGTGTGCAATATGTCGATAGTTTGATCAGGCCAATGCACACGGCGATGTGTCGAGCTGGTCTCGAAACCCACATTGTCAAAGGACTGGTAGTCCTTCTGCATACTCATTTCTGCAAGGTTTCGATACCTGAAATATAATTGAGCGCATATATGTAATAAAAGCGAAATGTGAGACGAGGTAGCAAGCAAGCAACCTTAATTAATTTACTCGTGTCTACTGGAAAACGGCCTTACAAGTTTGTTCAAGAATTTTTGACATAAAGTTAAAGTTACAGCCTATATACGTCCCACAGAACACAGGCAGGAGGTCTCTTTTTGCTTTATAAAGGTATTATTATCATCATCATTACGGTGCTGAGCCATCTGCGTCCTTTAAAGGTATTAAAAATTAAAAATTACGGCCTATATACGTTCCACTGCTGGGCGCAGGCCTCCACTCATTTCTGAGAGAAGATTTACTTGCCTAAGCAAGGAAATGTCTGCCACGCTGCCCAAATTTGACGATTTTATTACTCAGACATGCCAGTTTCCTCACGATGTTTTCCTTCACCGCCGAGCTCGTGGTAAATCAACACTTAAAATTACAATTAACAGTTTCATTGGTGCCGGTTGGGATCGAACCCGGGTTACTACGGCTAACACGGCTCTTTGAACATAGTAGACTATTTCTTAACTATTATTGCCTTTAATTAAAAATAAATTTATTTCTTTTAGAATTAGTCTTATTAATATCAGTATAATTTTTTCCTGATTATCAAACATTACCACAATTTCTGGATATTAAAAACTTTTGATCGCTAAAGGACATGATTGAATAGCGTGTAAAAGTTTTGTTTTACTAGTAAATTATAATGGAAATATCATAATACGGGTACATTGAGTCTTTTAACACTATATTCCTTTAAGTGGCTTGCTTTGCAACCCCGTGATAAATTTATATCACGTCACAGAATAAATAATAGTACTACGTAATCACGTGTAATACGTTCATACGAGATTTTTTTATCTGACAAAAGATAAACTGTTTTTAAAACTAAAAAGTACAGAAATACAGTATTGTTAGCGACGACAAAGTGAATTCGAACATTTAATCTTAATTATTTCTTATCAGTGATTTAAAACTAAGTGATAGTATTTAATCTTAATTGTTTCCTATTCGTAAAATAAAGCTAAGTGTAAAGACTGATTAGTGCTGAAAATGGGAAAGTAAATTAAACACTTCTATTCTTATCTTAAAGTAACTTATATGAATCTATTTAATATTATTTAGGTCTGATTAGAACATTAGACGCAAGTATAAGCTTATTTTCTAGTAAGATTTCTTTTATCATAACTTTAAGAGCTATTAACATATAGGTGATTAATGTAATTCTTTTTACTTTAAAGTAATTCAAAAGAAACATTAATATGTCAATTAATCACTATATAATGTCATTTCATTATGAGACAGATTTAAATTTCATGTAAAAATATTGTATAGATTCTTAAGCATTAATCCTGAAAAAAAAAAGTGTTGTACATTCCTACCTCTTGGCGGCGCTACTTGTATGTTCGGCAAAAAATACTATCCTACTCCGGAGCTAAACCGTGAAGCGACCGCGAAGCTATTTTTATTTTTTATAAGTGTAAAATAAAGGTTTATTGAATAATTTAGGTTTAGAATAATAGAAATAAGTTGTATCTATCGCTAGGAATAAATATAAATGTTGTAAGATATGTTTTACCACGTTTATTAAGGAAATTGTAAATCTCTCTTAGAAAGGGTTATTCTGTGCTCTGATTGGTCAATAGATTCACTAATGCCGTGTGCGATTTTTTCTTAATTACGATTGGTTACAGCCGCTTATAAAAAAGGGGCGTTTTTCGTGGTAAAACATTCCAAATCCGGCAACGTAATAATAAGGAATCAAGAAATAAAATAAGAAGAAACTCTCAAGAAGTGTTATTTATTGCTCATCTAACTGCTACTGTATGCTCTCCAGTTAACATCCCGCCAGCAAACCCGCTCTATTTTATCGACGCTCCCTTATGCGAGCATTTACAATTGGTCCTTCGAGAAGCCGGATCGGGTTTAAGGAAAACTAGGAAGATGCCTTCAAATACAAGATCAAAATCAGTGCAGTCGAAGACTACGAGTGAAAGTAACGCCACTACGGGTACCAGTACGACGGATTGGAGCATGAATACGCCGAGTGATTCTACAAACACGACGGCTACTAACACGTCGACTTCAGATCGATCGACGCTTACAAGAGCATCGCCCAGCAGCGTACAAAGACAACCCGTACTTCTTAACAAGAACATTGCCGGAAAGGAATCAACACCGGGGGACGTAACCCATACCACCCCCCCGACACGCACCGTCGAAGCGTCAGTTCCTCACCAAGAAGAAAGTCATCCAACGCCGCAGATTCAAGAAAGAAGTGTCGCAATGAAGACTCTGCAGCAGCCTCACCCTAAGAAGACGACCCGCGATCCAGACACGCTTTCCGTTCGCTCGTCGCATAGGAAGAGAGCAGAAGCGCAAGCAAAGATGACAATGGCATTAAGGGAACTAGAATTGGCAGAAGCGCGGTCAAAAGTTGCTCAAGCGGAATTAGAACTTCTCACCGCGGAATCAGAAGAGGAAGATGGTGCCGGAGACGAGCTGTTCGAACGAACTCGAGAAGTCGAACGCTGGTTCATCCAGACCGGAGACATGCCTAATAAGAACCACAAACCAATAGAGGCAGAAGAAAAGAAAAGTGACATCCAGGAACTAGCTTCAGTCATACTAAAGCTATCAGAAAAATCACGTGCCACCATTTCACCGAAGCACCTAGAACCCTCACTTCAACGGGGCCTGCGAAGAATGGTTAGCCTTCAAAAGATCATACGAGGATACGGCTGCTTCTTTCAGTAGCAACCAAAACCTAGCGCGCCTTAGAATAGCGATCCAAGGAAAAGCTAGAGAAGCCGTCCAAAGCCTGCTGTTCACCGCCGAAGACCCACGCGAAGTAATTAAGGGACTGGAAGCAAGATTCGGAAGACCTGGAGCACTAGCATTAGCAGAACTAGAGAAAATGAAGAACCTCCCAAGAGTCGGCGAAAACCCGAGCGACATATGCATATTTGCAAGCAAAGTAAAGAACGCAGTCGAGACAATCAAAGCCCTGAAGAAACCACAGTATCTCAGTTCACCTGAAACGCTGAGAGTTATAGTAGACAAGATGCCGACGTCAATGAAGTTCCGTTGGTTCGCCTACCACAGAAGCAGAAGAGATGAGGAAATTCAGGAGCTATTACTTATCGAAGCGTTCCTAGAAACAGAAGCAGACATGTGCGGAGACTTCGCCCCGCCCGAAGCGTCCTCAGAACAAAGAAGAGGAATAAGAAAACCCGTTCATTTGGTTCAAGAAGCGTCAAAAGAGAAATATAAGAAGTCGTGTCCGTTCTGTGGGGAAGAACACTTCGCATTAGAATGTAAAAGGTTCAAAGAAGCCAATCTGAATGAAAAATGGAATATGACCAAGAAAGCAAAGATATGCTTCAAGTGCCTTCGATTCAGACACTCAAGAATCAACTGTAAAGCACCAGTTTGCAAGTTGTGTAAAAGATGGCATCATACCATCTTACATTCTGACAAACCACCGGCGTCGATAGGAAAAAGAAGCAAAAGACACCAATAGCACCTCAGAAGAAAAGGTCGCCTCAATTCATAACGCCAAAGGAGAAGAAAAGGCCTACCTAAAGATGATCCCCGTGAACCTCTATGGCCCAAAAGGACAAGTTCGCGTATTGGCACTACTAGACGAAGGGTCAACGGTCACACTCTTAGACGCATCAATCGCTGAGAAAATCGGAGTCGAAGGAAAGAAAGAAAAACTCACGATCGAAACCGTCGGCGGAAAGGTATTAAGAAAAGATAGTTCACAGAAGATCGAGTTCAAAATAAAAGGGGCTCATAGAAAAGAAAAAAGAACTATCGTAGCAAGAACCATCGATGACCTGAAGCTGTCCGAACAATGCATAAACAAGGACACCGTGAGAAACTGTGAGCACCTGAAGGCAATTGAAAATCAACTCCTCTACGTCTCCGAGAGGCCCAAGCTACTGATAGGCCAAGACAATTGGGGACTGATAGTGACAAGAAAACTGAAGAAGGGCAAACCATCAGATCCTGTAGCTTCCCTCACGAACTTAGGGTGGGTGCTACACGGATGTGAAACAGGAACAACTGCCACAGTACACTTCACTCATTATGGCAGAGCGACCACTGGCAAGGAAGAAATAGAAGACCTCGTCCGAGAACACTTCCAATTAGAGTCTCTAGGGATCCAAAATCGTTCACCATCTAACGACAGCGACAGAAGAGCATTAGAAACCCTCGAGAAAACTACCAAGAAACTGCCAAGCGGTCAATATGAAACGGGACTCCTGTGGAAAAAAGAAGATGAACGCCTGCCCAACAACTACAATCAAGCTGTTCGACGCCTGGTCAGCATCGAGAAAAAATTGGATCGTGATCAAGAAGCAAGAAAGCACTACGAGGAGCAAATCCTGAGTCTAATCGAAAAAGGATACGCAGAGAAGGCTCCAGAAACCTCTAACGAAGGAAGGACATTCTACCTACCCCACTTCGCTGTTGTACACCCAGTCAAGAAGAAGCTAAGAATAGTGTTCGACGCAGCCGCCAAGTACGAAGGAAAGAGCCTCAACGACGCCTTGCTCTCGGGCCCAGACTTGCTACAATCACTATTCGGAGTACTGCTGCGTTTCAGAGAGGGACCAGTAGCCGTCATGGCAGATATACAAGACATGTTTCTCCGAGTAAAAGTCAGAGAAGACGACCGAGACAGTCTCAGGTTCCTGTGGCGCGGAAACCGAAGAACCGGCAAGCCTGAAGAGTATAGAATGTATTCAATCATCTTCGGAGCAGCGTCATCACCTGCAACAGCAATATATGTAATGAACAAGAACGCAGAGGAATTTAAGAACACTCATCCTGAAGCAGTGAAAGCAATTAAGAGAAATCACTACATGGACGACTATCTGCAGAGCTTCGCATCTACAACCGAAGCAAAGAAGATATCCAAAGAAGTGAAAGACATTCACGCAAGAGCAAACTTTCATCTGAAGGGATGGGCCAGCAACAACTCGGGGGTAATATCAGAGGTAGAAGACACAAACAAAGAAAACTCCTTACAACTGACCAAGGAAGAGAAGACTCTGGGATTAAGATGGCTGGTGAAAGAAGATGCATTAGCCTTCAACGTCGGGCTACGCAACACGCCGGAAGACCTGCAAGACGGCAGAAGGACTCCAACAAAAAGAGAAGTCACAAGCGCAGTAATGTCCACATTCGATCCAATGGGTTTTGCTACACCAGTTATAATACAAGGGAAGAAACTAATCCAAGACATCTGGCGAAAGAAAATAGACTGGGATGAACCTATCAACGAACATCAAAAAGAAGCCTGGATGAAATACCTGGAAGAAGTTTCAACATTAACAAGGCTGAAGATCCCGAGATGCGTCTCACCCAAAGGCAGAAAAGGACAGCTACACACGTTCTCCGATGCGAGTGAAGAAGCCTATGCAGCAGTAGTCTACTGGAGAATAGTAGAGCCCGGAGGAAAGGTCCATGTCTCCATGATCGCCGGCAAAGCAAGGGTAACGCCGACGAAACCTGTGTCAATTCCGAGGCTAGAGCTACAAGCAGCCTTACTCGGAAGCAGACTAGCCGCCACAATCGAAGAGGAATCAGAGCTCGACATATCGAAGAAGGTTTACTGGACCGACTCCAGCACAGTGCTGCAGTGGATAAAGTCAGAACCAAGAAAGTTCAAAACCTTTGTGGCCAACCGACTCGCCGAGATCGAAGAAAGGTCCAAGCCAGAAGACTGGAGATGGGTGCCAACCAAGGAGAATCCAGCGGACGACGCCACGAGGGGAACCCCAATCGAATTCGACCACAACGCCAGATGGTTCAAAGGCCCGTCATTTCTCCGTCGACCAGAAGAAGAATGGCCATTCCACGACTTCAAGCCAGAAATCGTTATGCCAGAAGAAAAAAGCAAGCAAAAGGTGTTGGCAACAATGGCAGCAGAAGACACTCTACTAAACCTAGAAAGGTTCTCGAGCTGGGAACGACTGCTGCGCACTACAGCCAGAGTGATCGCCTTTACACACCTACTAAAGAAGAGCCGTAAAGCGACCACCACCGCCGCGCGCCAGAAGGATGAATCCTGGAAACCACAAAAAATCCAGAAGAAAGAAGCACAAACCTCAATCCCGTCGACCAGCAGAAGTGAAAATAAGCGCCTATACTCACCCATAGAAGCAGAACACCTAAAAAAGGCCGAAGAGATATTAATAAAAATAAGCCAGAGCGATAGTTTTGCATCAGACATAAGAAAACTGAAGTCAGAAAAGCCATTAGAAAATTCGAGTCGACTCAAGAAAATCGACGTTTACATTGGAGACGACGGAATAATTAAATTAAGGAGCAGAACAATGAAATTCCACGATCAAAACGGAAGAATAATGAATCCTATCATTTTAGACGGAAAACAAAAAATAACTCGTCTAATAATACAACACTATCACAGGAAATTCCTTCACGGAAACACCGCTACAGTAATGAACGAAATTCGTCAAAGGTTCTGGATCTTGGGTTTAAGAGCAACTCTAAAAGCGGTCGCACACAGCTGTCAATGGTGCAAGACAAAGAAGAGTTCACCAGAGATACCACCAACAGGAGATCTGCCGAGTGAAAGATTGCAGCATCATCAATTTCCGTTCTCCTGCACAGCTGTAGACTACTTCGGGCCGATGCAAGTCACCATCGGAAGAAGGAACGAGAAGCGCTGGGGAGCTTTATTTACCTGTCTCACAACTAGAGCAGTACATTTAGAGCTGGTACCTTCTCTCAGCACCAGCTCAATGATCATGGCACTCCGACGAATGGCAGCCAGAAGAGGAACTCCGAAAACAATATATAGCGACAACGGAACTAATTTCGTCGGAGCGAAAAGGGAATTAGAAGAGGCCGCACAGGAAAAGGGCATCCAGTGGAAGTTCATCCCCCCGGGAGCTCCAAACATGGGAGGCGCCTGGGAGAGGCTCGTACGAACAGTCAAAACGGCGCTAGCAGTAGTCCTCAACGAGAAGAGCCCGCCCGAGGAAGTACTCCATACGCTAATGACTGAAGTTGAACACATCGTCAACTCGAGACCTCTCACCCCGATCAGCATGGACCCAGGAGACGAGGAGAGCCTAACACCAAACCACTTTCTGCTGGGAAGATCATGCGGAGCTATGGCGCCGGGAGAGTTCAGCGACACGGAGCTCATCGGAAAGGCAAGCTGGAGAACCACCCAGAGACTCGCAGACCACTTCTGGAAAAGGTGGATTAAAGAATACTTACCTCTCCTGATGCCAAGGAAACTCGAAGGGAAAGACACCAGAGACCCAAGGGAAGGAGACATCGTGCTAATAGTGGACGCCACATTACCGCGAAACTCATGGCCTCGCGGTGAAATCGTCAAAACCTATCCCGGACCAGACGGAAGAACCAGGGTGCTGGACGTGCGGACATCAGGTGGAATACTTCGCCGTCCAACTCGACGTGTCATCGTGCTGGTGCCAGCGGAGTCGTCGCCTCCAGAGGATGCAGTGCTACGCACCGTGGGGGAGAATGTTAGCGACGACAAAGTGAATTCGAACATTTAATCTTAATTATTTCTTATCAGTGATTTAAAACTAAGTGATAGTGTTTAATCTTAATTGTTTCCTATTCGTAAAATAAAGCTAAGTGTAAAGACTGATTAGTGCTGAAAATGGGAAAGTAAATTAAACACTTCTATTCTTATCTTAAAGTAACTTATATGAATCTATTTAATATTATTTAGGTCTGATTAGAACATTAGACGCAAGTATAAGCTTATTTTCTAGTAAGATTTCTTTTATCATAACTTTAAGAGCTATTAACATATAGGTGATTAATGTAATTCTTTTTACTTTAAAGTAATTCAAAAGAAACATTAATATGTCAATTAATCACTATATAATGTCATTTCATTATGAGACAGATTTAAATTTCATGTAAAAATATTGTATAGATTCTTAAGCATTAATCCTGAAAAAAAAGTGTTGTACATTCCTACCTCTTGGCGGCGCTACTTGTATGTTCGGCAAAAAATACTATCCTACTCCGGAGCTAAACCGTGAAGCGACCGCGAAGCTATTTTTATTTTTTATAAGTGTAAAATAAAGGTTTATTGAATAATTTAGGTTTAGAATAATAGAAATAAGTTGTATCTATCGCTAGGAATAAATATAAATGTTGTAAGATATGTTTTACCACGTTTATTAAGGAAATTGTAAATCTCTCTTAGAAAGGGTTATTCTGTGCTCTGATTGGTCAATAGATTCACTAATGCCGTGTGCGATTTTTTCTTAATTACGATTGGTTACAGCCGCTTATAAAAAAAGGGGCGTTTTTCGTGGTAAAACATTCCAAATCCGGCAATGTAATAATAAGGAATCAAGAAATAAAATAAGAAGAAACTCTCAAGAAGTGTTATTTATTGCTCATCTAACTGCTACTGTATGCTCTCCAGTTAACATCCCGCCAGCAAACCCGCTCTATTTTATCGACGCTCCCTTATACGAACATTTACAAGTATAGTAACAAAGTATGAATGGTGTCATCTTAGCTTCTAGTGGTGAGAATAAACGTGTAATGTATTGGTGTAATTTGCCGAGTTGAGCATGATTCCATTAGTCAACGTATTACCTATTATTTATTCTGTGATATTACCAAGGTAGCCTTTAACCTTGTAAGTTTGACGAGATGGTAAACTATTTCTCGGAACCACAAAATAAAACGTTGTTATATAAACAATAAAACCGACCAAGAGCATGTCGGGCCACGCTGTGTGGGGTTCCGTAGTTTCCCGTCAGTCACAATAAGTGTTCCCACTTATGAGTTTAAAGGTGGGTATCCATTATGTTCGCGCTCCAGCAGCGCTCCGCGCTCCGGCAACTGCTCCCGGTAGTGGGTACTGCTGTTTCCTTCCAAGTTCAAAATGATTTTCCTAGAAAGTCCTTATAAAGTTCTACTTTTCAGATTTTTTTCATATGTTCTAAGCTTATGGTTCAAAAGTTAGGGGGGGGACACATTGTTTTTTACTTTTGGAGCGATTATTTCCGAAATTATTGACATTATCAAAAAATGATTTTAGTAAACCCCTATTCATTTTTAAATACCTTTCCAACAATATATTACACGTTAGGATTGAAATAAAAAACAATAACTTCCCACTTTACATATAGGGGGGCTACCCTAATAAAACATTTTTTTCCAATTTTTATTTTACCACTTTGTCGGCGTGATTGATACACATATTGGTACCAAATTTCAGCTTTCTAGTGCTAACGGTCACAGAGATTAAGCGAGGACGGACAGACAGACATGGCGAAACTATAAGGGTTCCTAGTTGACTACGGAACCCTAAAAACGGTGCGCTTAGCTTGGTTGTTAATAAAGTAATTTTTTACGGTTTAAAAACTAAATACCTTTTTACTAATACGCAGCAGCCCAGCAACAAGATGATCTGAACCGCCAGCCAGGCTAGCAGCAGCGCTACCAGCAGCAGCTCGTGAACACACACCAGCGCACCGTCCGCTGCCGGGAGCTCCGCTAGAGAAATATAATTGTCATCAAAAACATCATTCCATACGTGAAATTAAAGTTCAACCAACGTCTACAACTCATTTATGGGCGCAGCACGATCGCATAGTACCACTCTCTCAGATTACTAGCGGAAAATAGCGTAATACCGCTGTGTTAACAGCAGTAAGAGAGTCGAAGACCCTCATTATTGGTGACGAGACATTCCATCTTGGCTCACAGGAGTGAAATACTATCATCATTGCGTGTGTTTTTAATAGAAGAAGGGTAACAAACTAGCACACAGTCCACATGATGGTACGTGAATGTTGTAGCGTAATTAAGAATCAAACGACAGATGCGTTGTCACCGGTGAGGACTAAAATGGAATGCCTCGTTTCGAGTAAAAAGGGTCTCCGGTTTTCTACACTCACCATACGAAACACAACAGGTATGCTGTGACAGCGTGGTCCTTCCCTGATCGAGCCGATCAATTCGCGCCACAAGCATAATATATTGATCATTAACCGTGAATTCTTAACCTCGTAGGTTTTTATTGGCCACAGTTCCAGGTCATTGTGCTATTTGCCACACACATCCGTATGAAAGCATAACTTTCAACAATTCCAGATTAATCCGCTGTATAATGAATTATTCAAAAAAAAGCTCATTAATCTCAGCTATGTACATAGGGACTAATAATGATTTAATCTTAAGTGTAGGGAGATAGTCAAATTAAAAAATTCTATAGAAGCAGCAAATCCGCCTGATTTACTGCTGGCACTCTACGCGAGTCAATAGTCAAACTCTAGTCGGTATGTCTCACTTAAAGTTACTTTATATCGACGGCGGCATTACGGAGTTCAAATATAAAAATGACAAAAATTTAAACAATTATAACAAGTAAGTTAATTTATTAAAATATTAACCAAAGTAAACTGTTGCTATGAAGAGATATATAGAATAGACTACCACGCTGCCTAATAAGCGCATGTTGGTGAATTTCACATAATCTCGTCTTCTTAAATCCCACTCTCATATAGTAATCCTCCTTTATCTCGTCCTTAACCAATACGAAGAGAACTCGAAAATGAATGTATTTCTCTTGACTAGAACTTTGACCTGAAGTAATTCTAAGCTTTAAAACATTTTTGTAGGTTTGTTCGGGTCCTTCACAAGGTCACCGTCATTTTAAAATTTTAAAATATATGAATATACCAACAAATAAAAAAATGTAAGAAATGTTATATAAAATTATTGTTCTTCCAAAACTCTGTGAATTTTAATTTAGGAAAAATTCTTTTACGTAAAAATGTTTGTATTGTGATTCCGAAGGTACCTGCTATCTTTATTTTCGATACAAAATATTATTTATTAACATAATTCGTTTTAATTAAAAACACCTAATAATAATATCGTATATTGCCAGATAAAAGTTTGCCGTAAAATACCAGGCGCTTCGACGTGTGACGTAAGGTAACAACAGTCGATGTGTCTGTAGCGAAAATCGTTAATTTATTGTTTTATACTCGTTTAAGTGTCTATAAATGTAAATATGGGTAGGAAAAGAAATAAATGTTACCTAAGTGGTAAAACAAAGAGAGTTTATCGCATGAACGCTGCTCGAATGTTGTATTTTGAGGTTAATACTTATATTTTTGTAAGGTAATTTTTTGTTTGAGGCTGTCTAATAGGTTGCATTTTTACTCATTTACATTAGCCAAACTGATCATTTATACTTTTCTAGTTTCAAGTGAGAAACACTAAAAACGTTAAATATCAATACCCAATCGGAAAAGAATGTACAGAGTAGTGCAAGCACAGAGACCGCAAATAATGTCAGTCAATGTATTGTCCGAAAGCATGGGGTAAAAGTACATAATTAAGAAAAACCGAAATACTTCGGATGTGAAGTGATTGACCAGTCGGAGTAGTCTTGTGAGAATTTACATACACAGTACCTATCCCCACTATGGGGCAATCACCGACTTTTTAGTTTTTTTCTTTATTATTTATGCAATTTGCATTACGGCATCTTGTAAGACTCACAAGAACAAACATTTTCAGTTATATGAGGTTCTTTACGTACGATGCACCAATTAAGAAAAAAAATCGTTATCAATTCAATAACTTTTCGAACAATATTTTATAACGAATAAAGTATAGAATTTATAATCTATAGAAACTAATATTATAAATAAGAAAAATTTATTTAAGAAGTAAGCAATGCTCTCTGTGTTGTTCATTACTCTGCATCCGAGCTAGTTCGTCAAATATAATCAAAGCCCGTACGGCTTTGATTATAGGTATTATACATGTCTATACAAACAAACGTATATGGCGGCGCTTGCTGCGAAACGTGCAAGGTCATTCGCGTCGTATTCGGCCTTACACATATAATTTCCGTCACTTTCACGTCACTATCGTACTTGGTAGAGCCGTGCTATATTATGGTTGTAGGACGAATAGGTTGGCTCGACCGGGGAGAACCACCCTTTTACAGAATATCAGAATAAAATAGAAGCTTAATACTGCTGTGTTTCCTATGGTGAATGTAGAGATCCGGAGACCCTTTTTTACTGGAAACGAGGCATTCCATCTTAGTCCCTAGGGGTGACAACGCATCAGCGTTTCGATTCTTAATCGAGCATAGATGTAGATGTCTATGGGCAACAGCATCCACTTACCATCAGGTGGACTGTGTGCTCTTTCTATAAAAAAAAAACTTACCTTCACCACCACGTTTGATATTATGCTTGGCTCACCCCCTGATCTACTTCGACTTTAATCAATTACCATTTAGTTTCTTTGTTATTTTACAAGAAATTAAATACTAATTTTAAGACAGGACACTTAAGTCGACACTGTGAAAAATGCATCTCTTTTCATCGAATAATATAGGACTATGACACCGCTATCGATATAAATTTATGTCTTTATCTTCAATTTGATTGTTCAAAAACACGATTGTATAATTTTGATCATAATTCGATCGATCGATTTCGATCATAATTATTTGCGAAAACACCTCTAAAAAATCACTATAGTTGAAATTATAACGAAATTACTTAATCTATATGCTTGGGAATGACTCAAATATATTCATAACATCATTATTCATAATTTACTACCTCATTAATTTGATTACTTAAATCAATAATTTTTAAAAAATATATTTTAAGATTCCGACAATACGCTACGCTATTTTAGACCTTATGACGGCGTTTTATCAAGTTTTTATAGAAATTATGTATTCACTGGGATCAGTACGGCGATAGCCTTTTCGATGTGTCGGATATTTTTCCAATTTCTTGATTAAGTTTTGACTATGATGTAACTGAGAATCTTTTGGTTTTCTTGAAGTAATACTCATTTGTTTGTTTGTCCGTTTTATGTATCCTAAAGGTATCGTTAATGCATAAACATAAAGTATAAACAAAGAATTTTGAATTTTGAAAACAATCACACACACAAACACGCTCAAACAGCGCGCGCCCGCACAAATATACGAACGCACAAGTGCCAGTAGTTTTTTAGATTTTTTTTTAAATTTAGAATATCAAATCGAACTTACGTATCGCCGCCCGGTGATCAGCTCGTACGAGTGTGTCGGCGGAGAGCACGTCCCTCGAGCCCACGAGCATCTCCAGCTCGAGCGGTACGCGCGCGCCCGCCCCGTCCCCACCTCTTGACGCCACCACCTGCCGCACAGCCCCAGGGGCCCCGCTGTCCGGACTGTTCCAAAACGATGTGTAGTTCGATTGTCGCGCTGCTCTAACTGGTTGCGAGCTGCAGTTCGGCTGGAATTGTAAATTTTCAAAAAACAATTATAATCACGGTTGCAAGCAATAAAACAGCAGCTGATTTAGACTTTGGACCAAGAAGCTTGGCTGAATAAGAGAGGTGCCGAATTTAAAAAAGCAATTGTATAAAAGCCGATTGGAACTTTTGCCTTCTATAAAAAATACAGCTTAGTTTTCTTTATAAAAAAATCAAAAATGTTATAAAAATTGTTTTTGGATAAATGCCTTAATAAAACAATAAGGGTTAAGCCTTAACTCATATCCCTTTCTACTAATACTATAACTTAAATTAAAATGTTTAAAAACCCCCCGAAACCAAAAGAGCTGATGATCTTCAAACGGCTTAACAGATTTTCTTGAAACATAGCTAAGAACACTCTCGATTAAGAAACCTTCCGAACGACAAAAAGCAATCAAAATCAATTTATCCGTTCAGGGGCTATGTGGCAACAAGACTACAAACTTGTTTTCCTCTGAGGTTAAAAAGACGTAAATGCCGAGCTAGAGGGAGGCGTATATACTAATTATTTTTGAAATTCTTATAATATATACATGATAAATAAGCCAACAGCCTTATTGATAGTAAGTCGCCTTGCTTAGGCCTCGTATAAATACGACCAACTTTAGTTAAAGAAATCTATAATGCCCCCTCTTGGAACAAACTTGGTATGACACGCCATGTAATTATTTTAGCTCACATACCCTTCAAACCACAACTCAACACCTTTGATTGATTGACGGATCCACTTGATGGAAGTGGATGCTGTGGCCTATAGACATCTACATCTCTCCTTGATTAATCAAAATGCAGATGTGTTGTCACTTGTCACCCCTGAGAACTAAGATTGAATGCCTCGTTTCCAGTATAAAGGTCTCCGGTTCTCTACATTCACGAAACTAAATACAGTAGCATTGAGCTGCTATTTTATGCAGGTATTCTGTGAGCTGTTTAACAATATATAGCCCGTACGGCTAAAGAATGGGATTGGAAATGGCGACTCACCGAGCCCGTACCATCAAAATGCACAGTACCAATAGCGAAAACCTGTTAATAACGGAATATCGTTATAACATTATATTATTGGAAATTTTCCATTAGTATGAACATATGAATATATTTGAAAAAAAATTTTAAACGCGTCATTTTTAAAATATTATTTAAAACTAGCGAACCGCTCTGGCTTCGCTTGAGTGGGATCTATTAATGTGGCGTCATTTTATCTTATCAATATTTCTATTTTAATAAAGTCTCCAACTTTTTCGAAAATAAAATTAGTTTTGATCACTCCTAGTATTGTTTTCTATTTGTTCGTGAAGTTTTATTACAACCAGTTCAGCCAGGCCGAAGATTAGCTCGGACAGACAGACAAACGAACATTTTAAAAATGGCTACTCATGTCTCAATAGCATGTAAATATTTTATACAAAAATATTAACAAACAAAATCAACAATAATTATGAAGAAAACTCTCAGAACGCGTCGCAGCTCACAAATTAGCGAAAGGAGAGCGAATTTTTGTTTTTGGTAGTTTACGGCATTTTTTATCATTGATTTCAATGAAAAGTTGGATTGAAGTTGTAGAACGTACAAAAATCATCTCATCTCAAATCGCAACGTATTTTGTTGCAGTCTTTACCGGCGGATGTGAGTATAGATAGCAACAGTGTGCGAGCGAGAGGTGAATAAAGGCGACGCCATTTTCAGTCCCATTCTTTAACCGTACGAGTAGTAAAGAAGTCAAGTGAAGTCCATGGGTCGATTAATAAGAGTTATTAGAATTCTAGATGGTTTCAAAACAGTATAATATTGATGAAGGACTAACCGGTGCACACTTGTTTTCGCAGAAGCGCACCATGAGTGCAAAACGCACGACGTGCGAGTTGGGGAATCTGAACGCCCTGAAGCGTGCGGAAAGTCGCTGCGTGCCGTCGAGCCACGTGCGGGTGAATGCGGGGAAGTCGACCTGTTTGAATTATATCACATTTTTTAAATCAACACAAAAGTACAATTGTATCGTGATTGATCACAATTGATCACAACAGCGTATCAAAAGTCCACTGTTAAACATGACCCTCCCCTATAGATACCTCATAAATGTCGGCCAAATTTGTCATAGTTGCCACGCTTGACAAGTGGCATTTTATTGTTTGGAGTTGTTATCAAAAAGATACTACTGCTCATCTGTTTCATAAACCTGTGTCACCTCTTCTGACAATGATGGGATGATATTAGTAGATTCTCTTTCACCGCTACTTCACGTCGTCGATGTTAATATCAATTATTATATTATTTTATAAAATAAAAGTAATTTTATTATACAACTAGCGGTCCGCCTCCGGTTACGCTCGGGTGATTTCTGGGTCTGGACAACAGCGCCACTTACCGAATCCAAATATGAACTCAAACCATCTAGGAACCGATTCAAATACACACAATAAAGTTCATAAGAAACGGTCGAGCCGTTTATGAGTTTTAGCGAGGCTAATGGACAGCAATTGATTTTTGAAGTAAAAGTTCTTTACGCACGCTTGGCTTGAGGTGTAAGCTGCGCGAACGACGTGACGAAAGCGTTACGAAAAGTGTGATCGGGCGAGGCGAACGGAAGTTGAGTGGGGGATATAAGTAAGAGAGAGCAGCGCGCGCGCACATTTTCTTTCTCTCTTTCTCTTATAGCCAGTAATTTTTCGTGTTTTTATTTCGTTTTGAACAATTTTATGAATTTATATTTTGTTCAATACATTAAATATTCTTCGTTCAAATCGTATAAAATTGTAAATTTATTTTAAAGTTAATTTTTTGTGTATTTTCGGGTGAATAATAACAGATTATGGAAGGAAGTCGATAATAAATTTAAATATTTGTAGACAAAAAGAAGTTAGTTGTACTTCAGTCATGTGGTCATAAGTACACTCGTTTTTTTTATTTATAGAAATATTATTAAAAATAGTTTCTTTAAATAAAAGCAAGTGCCACACTTAGTGTTATAAAAAGAACTAAATTTTATTATAATATTTAGAAGAGCACTTACAGAGCATTCAGTTCACCTTAAAATGAGTGCCGTGGCCCATATACACCCTCATCTATCTTAGTTTAAGAATCAAAATACAAATGTGTTGCCGACTCTAAAGACTATGTACTGCACAGTTAGCAGTAAAAATTGTCAACGGTTGAAGTTTATGCGTATTACATAAATGTGTACTAATAAACATTCTTCACAAGTACTTACACGTGTTTACGATCTGAAGGCGTTCCGTTTTATATAATCTCATTCGTGTCTTACATAAATTATTAAATTTTCACCACACTAGTAGAATTTTTCAGTCGTGATACTCGTTTCTAATTATATTCAAGCTTAGTCCGAGATAACTTGGTAGTATCGTCTACACCTTGCTTGATGAACGCGTCCTTTTAGAGTAGATCTAAAACAAAAAAAGTTGCAACACGAACGCAACCTAACGCTTCTCGAATGTCATTCGTTTTACCGCGTTTGATGAACAATCATCCATTTGCATTTGCGCACTAAATCTCGAAAGTTTTTGTACAATTTATTCTGGTTACGTTGGTTTAAAATGCCTAAAAGACGAAGGGAGTCAAAAGAAGAACGTTTAGAAAGGAAGTTGAACAAATATAAGAAAAAAATATGAACGTTGTAAAAGACGTAAAGACGAACATTCAAAAGATAATAGAAACGAAAATGATGTTGGCGATATTGGTAAGTCTGTTTTTATCATGACTCAATTTATTATAATTAATCAATTGCATTATGCGGAACTTTATGGATATATAATATTTCATTAAAATAAAACAAAAAGTTTTAAAAGATCATTAAAATTAGCATGTAGACCGCCAATGTTTTCTAAAAAGTTTAAAATGAGGTTTACTTATCCTCAATTTTACCATCCAAAATTTTATGTGTATAAACTTTTGAGACTATCCCGTGGGGCATAGTCACGACTTTCCCGTGGGGATTAGTCGACCAGTCATAATATGCCTGGATACATATGTCACAAACTAGTAAAAGCGAGTGTCACTTTTGACTTATCCCGTGGGGATAATAGTCATGCCACACCATTTAATATGGAGACCTCTTAAAGTGAGTGTCACTATTAAACCATTATATTGGTACTATAGCAATCGAATATCATTAATTTATGGGCATTACATCTGTAAACAAAGGGGGGAGAGAAATGAAGGCATAAATAAGAAAATTAGTATAATACAATACTACTATAATTATAAAATTTCAGTGGAAAGTATTGAATCAGAAGAGGAGATTATTCTGGAAAATATCGAACCAGAGGAGGAGGAGGAGGTAGAAATTATGGAAATTAAAGAAGAACATTTAGAAGAGGATATTATAGAAGCCATGGGTCCTCCGATTAGTACTGAATCTTCATATGGTCAACCAATACATCCGGAGATCTATAAAAGGGTCGAAGGTATTTTGATGGAAGGCTTGACTAAAGAAAAGATTGAAACATATAAAAAAGAACAATTAATACCGGAAAATACCATTTTGTTAGAGGCACCACTACTGAATCCTGAATTACACATGATACAGGAGTCAGAAAAAACAAGAGATAAAAAAATTGAGAACCGCCAAAATTTATTAGGATTAGCCACAGGCACAATATTAAAATGTGTTGATAATTTAACCAAACAAAATTTTAATAAATTAGATATCATAAAAAACATGACAGAGGCGGCCAGGATTCTAGCCCATCTCCATTCAGAAGATACGGTAATAAGAAAAAATTTGTTAATACCTCACTTAGATAAAACCATATCTAAGACTCTTGCGGATCTCAAACGGGATAAATTCTTATTTGGAGAAAAATTGAGTGAATGTGTAAAGAGTGCAACAATTTTACAAAAATCTGCTTCAAATCTTCTAAAGAAATCTATTCCAAAACCTTTTAAGCCAAGGCAAAATTCTACTACAAAAAACTACTATCCCCCCTCAACATCAAAGGACCCAGAGGAAGATGTTCAGGGGAAATCAAAATTTTCAACGGCCGGCAACCAAGGTCCAAGCACCGGTAGTGACTCGCAGCCAGCCTCACAAACAAAAGAATTACAGACAACAACGTGCCAAATACCCATAGAGGTAACACATTTTGCTGGTCGAATTAAACATTTTTATAACTGTTGGAATAAGCTTACAAATCATAACACTATTTTATCATGGATACAGGGCTATAAAATCCCTTTTATTGATAATCCAACTCAAAATTGCTTACCACTGAATGATAAGTTGTCAGGTTTAGAAGATAGGATTATATCTATAGAAATTAAAAAGTTAATGAAATTACATGCTATTTCACAGTGTACTCCTGTAAAAGGTCAATATTTATCGAATATTTTTTGTATTCCAAAGCCTGATAAATCACATAGATTTATTTTAAATCTTAAGCCCCTAAATAAGTTCATAAATCCTCCACACTTCAAATTAGAAGATATTCGTACCTTATGCAAATTAGTGACTAAGGACAGTTATATGTGTACATTAGATATACAAAATGCATACTATTTAATTAATATTCATGATGATTTCAGAAAGTTTTTACGTTTTAAATATAAAGGAATCCTGTATGAGTTCAATTGTTTACCATTTGGATTGTCTACTGCGCCATATACTTTTACAAAATTATTAAAACCAGTAGTAGAACATCTCAGAAGTCAAGGCCTCATAAATGTTGCCTACTTAGATGATCTTAATTGCATAGGACTCTCTTATGCAGAGTGCCTAGACAATGTTCATAAAACTGTAAATTTACTCCAGTGTTTAGGTTTTATAATTAATATGAAAAAGAGTAATTTAATTCCATCACAAGAAAGAGAATATTTAGGTTTTGTCATTAATACACAAAAAATGGTAATAAAACCCACAGAAAATAAAAAGAAATCTTTATTATCTGCAATACATAAATTTCTTAAATTAAAGTACTGTTCTATTAGAGAATTTGCTGCCTTGGTAGGTAGTTTTGTATCTATATGTATGGCAGTATCATATGGATTTGTATACACAAAAATATTTGAGAGGGAGAAATACATAGCTTTACAGAGATCAAATGGAGACTATGAAAAACAAATGAAAATAAATGAAAATGTGAAGTCAGATTTATCATGGTGGCAAAATAAGATTAATATCGCATATAATCCAATAAAACAGTATCAGTTTATATTAGAAATTTGGTCAGACGCTTCTAGTACGGGTTGGGGAGTACACTGTGATGGTAAAGTGGCACGAGGTTTTTGGTCCATTCAAGATAAACAAAATCATATAAATTATTTAGAACTCTTAGCAGCATACTTTGGTTTAAAATGTTTTGCAAAAGACTTAAAAAATTGTGAAATATTATTGAGAGTTGATAATACAACTGCAATTTCATATATTAATCGTATGGGGGGAGTTCAATATCCTAAGCTTAACAACTTATCTCGATTATTGTGGCAATTTTGTGAGAAGAGAATGATATGGGTTTTTGCCTCTTACATTAAATCAAAAGACAATAAAGAAGCAGATTTTGAGTCTCGAAATAGGAATATAGATGCTGAATGGGAACTATCAGATGACAGTTTTAACAGGGTGGTTACAATGTTTGGCCAGCCTTTAATACAAAATGCATTAAATATGTGTCATGGCAAAGAGATCCAGAAGCCTGGAATATAGATGCATTTACATTAAGATGGTCTGATTTCTACTTTTATGCATTTCCACCATTTTCAGTTCTTTTAAAAACAATTCAAAAAATTAAGAATGAAAAGGCAAGGGGCATCATTATTTTCCCTGTTTGGACTGCTCAGCCCTGGTATCCTATGATGAAATCAATGATAGACTCGGAAGTAATTTACTTTCCACCTTCATTAGAACTCTTATCTTCTCCTTTCAGGACACCTCACCCACTACATGCACAACTTACCCTGGGGGCATGCATATTATCAGGACAGCGTTCCAACTAAATAAAACCCCGGAGTTAGCATGTGATTTGATGTTAGCATCTCTGTCCTCAAATACATTAAAACAGTATAATACATGTTTAAAACAGTGGTGGTATTACTGTATGCAAAACAATCATGATATCTATAGGGCATCAGTGCCATATATAATAACATACTTAACAGAGTTATATAATAAAGGGTGTAGTTATCAGACCCTTAATTGCCATAGATCAACTCTTTCCTTAATAATAGGATCACATCTGGGAACAGATGAAACAATAAAAAAGGTGGTTTAAAGGAGTATATAGGCTTAGACCACAAACTCCAAAATATAGTGTGACATGGGACCCTTTAATAGTCCTAAATTTTTTGCAAAAATTGTATCCACTTGAATCACTTGCCTTAGATAAACTTACCAAAAAATGTGCTATGTTGATTGCACTCAGCACTGGGCAAAGGATACAAACACTATCTTTAATTAAATTGAGTGATGTAAATGTGACTGAGACACATGTTACAATACTGGTTTCAGACTTACTTAAAACATCGGCTCCTGGAAGACAACAGCCAATATTAATCCTACCATATTTTAAAGAAAAGCCTGAGATTTGCCCAGCAAAAACTTTGTTATTTTACATTGATACCACTAAAAAATTAAGAGATCAGGATGGAAGTACACAAAATATTTTTATAACATTTAGAAAACCGTATAGAGCAGCCACATGTCAAAGCATAAGTAGGTGGCTTAAACAAGTAATGAGCGAAAGTGGTATTGATACAAGCACATTTACTCCACATTCAACTAGACATGCCTCAACGTCTAGTGCTCTAAGACAAGGACTTACAATAGATAACATATTAAAGACAGTTGGATGGTCAGCAAACTCTCAAACATTTGCAAGGCATTATAATAGACCTCTGTTAAATGATAATCACCTGTTTGCAAAAACAATATGTAGGACAAACTCTACTTGATTAAAATTTAGTTTGAAAAATTATTTGTAATTTACATATAATTACTACTTAGTTGTGATAGCAACCTATTTTAATTTTTTGTTCAGTGAAGTAACATTTTAATAAAAGTTGATTTTCAAGTTTAGTATTCTTTGAATCTTTCTTTCTTATAATTTTAAGTTCCAATTTAATGTGCAAATGCAATGAGAATCTATATGTTTACTCATTAACTCTAAACATCTACCAAGTTATCTCGGACTAAGCTTGAATATAATTACATAATTAAACGAACTTACCTTAAGTGAAGTTCAATTTTAATTATATGAAGAGCTTAGTCCGAGATATAAATTTCCCACCCACCTCACTTAATAAGTTTGCAACTTATTAACCCAAGTAAACAGTAGATTCTAATATTTACTCTAAAAGGAATGACATTCGAGAAGCGTTAGGTTGCGTTCGTGTTGCAACTTTTTTGTTTTAGATCTACTCTAAAAGGACGCGTTCATCAAGCAAGGTGTAGACGATACTACCAAGTTATCTCGGACTAAGCTCTTCATATAATTAAAATTGAACTTCACTTAAGGTAAGTTCGTTTAATTATGTAATTATATACCTATCTTTTGCTCCTTTTTTAACCTTTAAAGTTCACTGTTGGCATGTCCAACTTCCTATCTCTAGCGGGAGGATTTGTAGGGAGAATATGCCTTGATTTTTACGCTTGGCACATTGACGATCGCACTGGCAGATGTCACGTACCTTCAATGCTGCATACTACTTCAAAAACGGTACTTCAACTACAAGCATATTTAAAAAAATGCTTCCCAAAAACTAACTTCTTAAGCGAATTTCGAACTTCACCTTCGTATTTAGGTAAACGCATATTGCAACTACGCAGAATTTCAGCCATCTATGTGAAATAGTTTCTCGGAAGCATTTATAATAATATCTATGGGACACCGAAGTAATTCCGTTAATTTTCTGCAACTAACTTGCAAACTTGCTAAATAAAAAACATGATACTTGACTGCAAACATAGAAATATAAACAACAGGAGAAGTGGCAAGGGGGCGTGTCTGTGTCCGCGCGCTATGATCAAAATGCTCAGCTTCTATACAAACAAATGGCCGTGTCTGCGAATTAGTGCGCTTTCGACCGTCATCGTGAAATACTCAGAATACCATGTTGTTCAGTGGTTTCTTGTAAAAACCGAAGCTAAAACAAAAACTTTGTTAATCATGAAATCACTTACCATACCTAAGTAAAAGTATTTAATTATATTTATCTTTAAAATCATATTAAACAGCAAATCGTAAAATATTCCTTGCTCTTACTACGTTGTTTTTGATTTCAAATATCACAGTCACTGTTATATTTTTGCAGTAAATACATTGCTCCATTACCAGTACCTTAGTATGACGCCAAGTGACTGAACAAGCAATGTAAATATCACAAAATGATACCTTATTTATGCAGAAATATGGCGTAGTACGGCCGCTGTATCTTGCGACGAGCTAGTTATGTGCTTTTGTAGATCCACTATCGACAATAATGTGGATTGGCGAATTGTTATTATAGTTTGTTCTCCAATTTGTCAACCGTTTCAACCCGATAGGAAGACCGATGTGACACAACGTTTTTTTTTTTTGCTTATTTATTATTTTACAGCAACCGCTACGCTGCATGCGTAACCAACGGTCGTGAAGTAAGTTGATTAAATTTTAGGTTATTATTAAATTTTTACCTACATATTAATTACTTTTATTACACTATTATCTGGACATATGGTATTTTATTTATTTTATATTCAGGGCCCAAAAAAATTTTTGTACAATTTTGGTATAAATGAAACAATCGTTAACTTTCCAATTTAGTCAATCACTAACGTATATGTAAAATAAATGGCTTTTTTACAGCACAACGATAGTGACCAATATTTTTGTGTGAGTAAGTAGCACGGTGAATGGTAAATGCACGCTGTGTTTTAGAGATATGGTTTAAAATTGATTGTGTAGTACGTTCTGATTTATAAAATGCGAGTGTGTGCGCGACTGTGTTTCTATTGCTTTTACTGATGTGCATATGTAGTAGTTGGTGCGTGGTAGGGGTCAACTGGAGACACCGGGTCCCGATACATTTTCAACTACTGAGCATATCTCCTTATTTCTTATATCTATGACTGCAAACCTGCGACCAATGACTCAGTGGTCAAGTATTGTGTTTTTAAAATAGCCTGTATCAAATTTTTTACAGTTGATGTTTTACTGGCTAAGAAATTGTTTCAGCCTCCAAAATTCTTAGAACCATACCTGACCCGTGGGGCAGCCCCTACTGTCCAGCAATAGCACGGAACTATCACCAAGCCTCGATGATGCAACGAGATGGTAAGCTTCGATCTCTGCTCCATCTGTACCTTCTGCCAAATAACACACTTATTATTATTTAATTGCCTTTACAGACGTTCATTAAACTGCAAATATCTGCTTACGTTTTAAAAGAAAATTGTTTAAGACGTGGGATTAAAACATCTAATTCTAAAATTACTCCTGGATCACCTGGACCTCAAGCAGCGGATGACTGCTGTATTACGATTTTAAGGGTAAGAGGGCGAGAATAATTACAGATTGTAAGGCTTTCATCTCAGTCCTGAGGGCCGACAGCGCATTGTTTACGAAATAAAGCCATACTGCAGCAATATTATAGTTGTAGCACGAATGGTTCAAGTCGACTGGGTAAGAACCATGATCTCACAGAATACCACCGTAAAATAGTGAGTGTAGAGAACCACAGACCTTTTTTACTGGAAACGAGGCATCCATTCCATCTTAGTGCTAAAGAGTGACAACGCATCTGCATTTTGATTAATTGAGGATAGATGCAGATGTCTATGGATCATAGCATCCACTTAACTTCTGGTGGACTGTGTGCCTGTTTGCAACCCATATTTTATAAACAAATATGATAGTTCTCGTTAGGCGATTTACGAGCAGCTCACAACTGCAGTATCGACAATTAAGATAGGTATTGAGTATCGATCATCTTGTAATGGATAGTTATGTGACCGCATGGTAGCGGTGTAGAGGAATCCATTACCCTGTTCCGTCATATGGATGTTGTAAGAGAAAACTATGGGAAATACCAGTAAGACAGAGATAGAAGACAACATGGCGGTATAAACTTGACGGACTTGTAACGATGAGCTGCGAGACACGTGGTACTGCGATTGTATATCTACCTGCTAAGTTTTTTTTATAGGTTAAGGGTGGCAAACGAGCACACAGTCCACCTGATGATAAGTGGTTGCTGTGGCCTATAGACATCTACATCTATCCTCGATTACGAATAAATATGCAGATGCGTTATTACACGTGAGGACTAAGATGGAATGCCTCGTTTCCAGGAAAAAGGGTCTCCGGTTCTCTACACTCACCATACGAAACACAGCGGTGTTAAGCTGCTATTTTAGGCTGGTATTCTGTGACAGCGTGGTCCTTCCTCGGTCGTGCCGACCCATTCGTGCTAAAACTGTACAAGTAATATAGATGCAGCATGGCTCTAACACGTAAAAAAGTGTGATAATTATCACATATCCTTACTATACATGAAGAGCTCATTCCCAGCAATAGACTTTTGCATGTTAATGAATATTTTGCCATGGGTGCGTTTGGCAGAAAAAAGCGCTAGCAAGCGCTTGTAAGCAAAATGGCGATCGTAAGCGGTAAGCGCTGTCAAATCGTAAGTAGCTATTTTCCTCTAGGACATGAAGTTAGTTTTAACCGGGGGAACCTAACCTAATTTGAATATATGTTTGTGAAGTATTCATATTATAAACTTACCAATCATGAATTTTTAATAACATGTATATGTCTATTCATGTCATTATATTACTTAAAACTAATATTGCAAAAAACAACTTATAAACTCTACTTCAAAACAAACAAATTAAATAAGCAAAATGGCGGATTGTGTCAGCGCTACTGAAGTAGCAATCGTGTCCTGGCCGAAAACTATTTTAGCGCTAGTAACCGCTTGCTAGCGCTTTTTTCTGCCAAACGCACCCAATGATTCATAGTTAAAATAATCTATTATTTTAATAAGCTATGTAATTAATTCAATCGTATTCTAAGTTCAAACTAAATCATCGTATCACAATAGAAAGAAGTAAACCATTTCACTTTAATAGGAAGTTATTCTTTGAGTAATTACATAATAGGTTAAAATGAGGAGTTACTCCTAGAAATGTCACTTTGCTTCAGCTACTAAAGACATATCTTTGTGAATGATTGCAATTCAGTGACAAGTTCGTGATCGATGCAGTATTAAATAGCTATTGTTTGAATTCACTATGTCAAGGCTTAGGTGATTAAGAATTGCTTTTTTAGGCATAGCGAATATGCAGTAAAAGAAATGCCCTTTGTGAAAGTAACGCAGGGCTGCCACGAATTTCATTGTGATCGACTTTGTGAATATACTTATCATAGGCAAACTTAGATCTAATAAATTGATATCAGATACATTTCTAAAACGAACGAAAAAAATAAAAACCCCGGCTTTTATTAACTCTAACTCCAGATTGGAAAGTATACAATGAAATAAAAATCTATCTATAAAATAAATATCTATTTATAAAGAAATATTGTTAAAGCCTATTTAGGATTATATTCGAGACGGTGTTTAAGGGAGTCACAGATTAATCTGTGAAGGGAGTAATGGGACAGCTGACGCGCTGCGTGTTGGAGAATTTTTTTTTATAAAATAACGGTGACAAACGAGCACACAGTCTATTTGATAGTAAGCTGTTGCTATGGCCAATATATATTTTTTATTTATTCGACTGGAGGGAGCAGACTTTCCATTGCAAAATGCCGATCCCTGTTGCCATGACGCTTATTTTTCACCTTTACTTCTAAAAAAACAAGTACCAGTGGTATCGATGTGCAGGTCGAGCAAGTCGCCCAGCCTCACAGCGGTGGTAGCGTCGTCCTGCACGCGCACCACGTACATGCTAAGCGGTGCAACGTGGCGGCTGAACACCGCGCTAGCACCGCCCGCTTGGATTGACTCGCTCGCTAGCGATGGCTTGCTGCCATCAAGTTATAACATATTACGGTTAGGAAATCAGGTCACAACTCATTCATCATCATTACAGCCTTTCACAAGTCTACTGCTGAACACTAGCCTTCCCCAACGACACTAAGCACGCTTCCGAGTCACCTGCATCCACCGACTTCGTGCGGCTTCACAGGCGGCACGCACCGATTAACTAATCCTTTTTAATCAAGTTTTAAGCTATACTTGACTAGAATATGAGTTGTAATCTTCCGAATGCTGACCAGCCGAGTTGAATCCGTCGGTTGAAGTTGGACTTACTTAGTCGGACTATTTGTCTTAGGTGAACATAGGCGACATAGGTCAACATCGTTGACAACTTCGAGCGTAGTGCTCCCACCAACTGCCGGTATATACGTGACATGGATGCCATACATCATATATTCATTCATTACATATTATTAGAAAACCACTGTTATTAGAACTCCCCTGTAGATGGTGCCATATTTGCCACGCTTGCAGGGTGGTTGCCCAGGTTGTGATTATTACATGGACTAGTTTTTAGGAAGATCCTGGTGCCATCCCATCATCTGTTTCATTTACTCTATCGCTTGTTACGACACCCACGGGATGATATAGGGTGCTTAGTAAATATTTTTACGCCGTCACTGCACAATCTTTAAAGTCACTTTTATTTTATTCAAACTCTTAATTTAAGAACAAAATAAAAGAACAAAATAATTCAAACTCTTAATTTAAGAACAATAATAACATAAAAGTGGCTTTAAAGATTGTGCAATGACAGCATATACGTGACATGGATGCCATACAGCCATATGGTGTAATCCGGGATACTTCCCGAATCAAAAAATTAAACTGTGTCCGTTTTCGATTATTAAATTGTATTCAACTTGTTGTGGTAGCGTGAGAGAATTAACTATCTTATATATGTTGTAAGTGGTGATATAAAATATACAATCACATAAGGTACAGTCTAATACATCTAATATAAGCCAGGTATAAAAGACTTTTATTCCTTGTCCCAGTTAAGGGCGCGAAACATCGTTACTTCGATCAACAATCTGTCCGCTAAGCGTGTCGATTATGCTAAAAGCTCCTTTTTATGATAGTGGTTCACAAAGATAATATACTATATAGGATGGTTCATCTACAGCCGTGGACTTATAAGATGTGAAAATTGTGTCGATAAGTATTAATTTAGGTTTACCCTGTATCTTTGACAGCAACAGTGGCGTCGACCTTCGTAAAGCTTTGAGAGTCCGAGCCTGGGGAGCAGCCAACTCGAACCCACCGGTCTCCAGCTGTCTGGATGATGGGGTTGTTTTGAATCATTACTATCGCGTATGCCATAGTACTGAAATGTCAACATGTTGAAATAAATTAGCCGCAGTTTGTATACAACTTGATTTCCTGCGGTGGTGTCGTAATAAAATCCATTACTAACCCCCCCCCCCATAAGGTATCGTAAAAGGCGATTGTGGGAAATTCTACAAAAATCTCAAATGCTGCAAAGAACGCCATAGTAAAATAACAGCTTACTGCTGCTGTTATTTGTATGTGAGTGGTACCGACCTTTTCACTGGATACGAGGCATTTCATCTTAGCCCTCAGGCGTGACAACGCATTTGCAACTTGATCCCAAATCGAGGATAGATGTAGGTTTCTTTGAGTCACAGCATTCACGCAGGTGGACTGTGTGTTCGATTGTTAACCTTATTTTATAAAAAAGGTAAGTATAACTATGTGATTTACGCTAGAAATAACATAACATAACATAAACACTCACGCCTGTCACCCAGAGGGGTAGGCAGAGACTACAGACTTCCATTTGGCACGATCCTGACACACCTCTCTTGCCTCCTTCACATCCATACACCTACGCATACATGCTCATCGGTTAAGGGTACTCCTAATTTGGCCCGTTTTCAATAAATCGCCAATTTGGTCGATAAATTTTCGCCTAAGACGTCCCTTTCCGACTCTGCCATTCACTTCTGCACCATAAATTTTCTTTGTCACTCTTTCCTCATTCATTCTTTCCACATGACCAAACCACCGAAGCATTCCTTTCTTAATCCTGGTCACATAATCTTGCAAACCACACTCTTCTCTTATTACACAATTTCTTACCCTGTCATTCAGATTCAGCCCTAACATACTCCTTAACGACCGCATTTCTACTGCGTTTATTCTACTCTCGTGCTTCTTCTGCCACACCCAACTTTCACTACCATACGTTAAAGTAGGGACCAACACAGCATTGTGAATTGCCATACGTGCCTTTTTCGACACATTTTGACTCTTCACAACGGTTAACTCACCCATTCTTAATCCGCATTCTTCAACTTTCAAATTTTGCAACAACTGTCCATAAATAGGTTGAACGGCCACGGGGAAGCCACACAGCCCTGTCTGACACCTTTATGGATGTCAAACCAGTCCGAGTAGACCCCGTTGATCCTAACACAAGCACTAGAATCCCTATAAAGAGACTCCAATGCCTGTATCAAGCCAGCGCTCAACCAAATAAGTTCAGTGTTTGCCATAGCACATCCCTATCCACTCTGTCATAGGCCTTTTCCAAGTCCATGAACGTACAAAAAACCTTTTGGTTTTTGGCCAGAAACTTCTTCGCGATCATGCGCATGGAAAAAGACTTGATCTGTACATCCCATTCCCTTTCTAAATCCCGCTTGCACATCCCAAATTTTTCCATCAGTTTCTTTCATGACCCTTTCAATCAGTACCTTAGCATACAGTTTTCCCACGCTAGAAATATACGAGTAATACACAGTCCCGTGTCGGGTAGCAGCGCCAAACTTGCGAAACGTGACATAATGAGAGAAGCCCATGCCCAGCTTCACAGCTTCACAACTGTTATACGCCAGTAGTTTAATTTGATCGTTTTTTAAATGCAGTATACCAATAGTGTAGTTCCCTCTTCATTGCTGTATTTTGCATGAAATTTGAGTAATCAAACTCACAGGCTACCTGATGGTAAGTTTTATTTTAATAGAACTACCTATTAACCTGACATTTAGACCTAGTTTTAAGTTTGTAGTTGCAAGTTTTAAGAAACATATTCGTTGTCCACATTGCATGCCGTGGCAACCTTTAATTAAGACGACACTTAGGTATAAGCCTTCCTGTAATTTGTAGTATTTACATTGTTCGTGTACGTCTTGTTGGTGGTCCTAAATAAATTAAAAAAAAATAGAATAAAGGTGACAAACGAGCACACAGTCCACCTGATGGTAAATGGATGCTGTTGCCCATAGACATCTACATTTAACCCTTTATAAGAATCAAAACGCAGATGCGTTGTCACCCCTGAAGACAAACATGGAATGCCTCGTTTCCAGTAAAAAAGGGTCTCCGGATCTCTACACTCACCATACGAAACACAGCAGTATTAAGCTACTATTTTACGCTGGTATTCTGTGAGACGAGTGACGAGTCCTAACAAGAAGGCTGCAGATGTGTTGTCACCTCTGAGGACTAAGATGGAATGCCTCACTTCATACCAGAAGACAGCAGTTTACGCACTGCTGATTGGCGGCAGAAATACGTAAGAGGATGGTACCTACCCAAAAGGACTCTTGGTAGAAAACGAGTCCAACACCTATCAGCGCTTAAGTAGAGAACAAAATAATGATATTGTTACGAGCTTGGGGTTCGTGACAATAAAAACTGGTGATTGAATTACCAATATTGACACTTTAATTACCGAACACCAATTCCAACTTAAAACACACTAATTATAAATCACACTGATCACTTTAGTTCGCAGTTATATCGCTTCGAAGTATTCTCTTGTATAGCCAATTCAATACTGCCTCGGTTGCGGTTCTTACCGACATAATATAGGACCACTTTTACAGAAACATTTACAATGTTCAAGTACATACCGGTCCCGACTGACTAGGTGTAGAAAGTTCTAGTGTGGAATTTTCTAGAAAGCTCTCCTAGTTCTACTACTAGATACTAGGTGGAGCTAGTAATAGGTACTCGGAATGTACCGGACATTAATCGTGGCGCGTAACAATATTCTAAAGTAAAAGTGTATAACTGTATATTGCCTGCTTCATTGTTTAGACCTAATGTAAAATAGCAGCATAACAGACGCCAAATTATTAACAAAAAGAAATTCATTTTAGATTTCAGAGATTACCCCTCAGGCATTCTTGGTCTCCATTGAGGATATAGATGTTAATAAATCGTGGAGTTCACTTTACCATCAGTTGGATTGCGTCATGACATTTCTTTTCTTCTACTGCGTCAGCCGTAACATTAGGTACTGTTTAAACTGGCTTCGAATATTAGTAGGAAGGATTTCACAAAACTGCTACGCTGCTTTCTACCACCATCTGTTTATGTACGTATAATGTATTATACATCGCGGCTGTTCCTAATAAAGCCGAGTAAGCTATAACTTTGAGAAGAAAGTGACGAAACATAAATCAAGGTAGTCTTTGAGAAGTTATTATTATATAATTAACGATTGAGGATATTAAAATTTCTAAAAAACTTTAAAAAAGCATTTTATTGTCACTTCTGGGTTTTATTTAGGGACGGCCGATTCAGTATAAAGATGAGTTTACCGCCATATACTGGATGTCATGAGATGTTTCTGATTTTTTCCGTCGTCTCTAGGATACTTTACGGAACGATATAGAACTATGGATGGATTTAATACTAATAAAAACACGGCGTTTATTAGTAGTTATTACATTCAAAAAATAATGTCTATATTTTAAAAAGTTTACTTTAAAATTGTTCGGAAAATTTCAAATTTCTAACCGATTGACGACTCCACCAGGTCCATTGGAGATACCGTACGCAAAGTTGACATCGCAGCCTCCATAAAGTGGCAGATTGAGCTTAACTGCGGTAGTATCCCCCATCCCCCGCGCGCCGCAGTCCTCTCCCCGTCCGGGCACGTACATGCGTCCGCGGAATACGCCTCGTGGGCGATACGTCACCACCATGTCGGAGCCTTGACAATCTACACTAACTATAGAAAGCAAGCAAGCATTAGTAAGTACGAATAAGTTGGGCTTATACAACATGTAACTAAAACCCTGTGGTTCCCGTTAACTGCGTTACCAGAATCGGTATTCAAGCGTATAGAAATATATTGTTTTAGAAAACTCAACCATATATAAATTTAATTATAAAAAAGTAAATTGCAAATTGTATGTGGTTTTATTTCCTCTAACTCACACGAGTATCGGTAATGCGGGGTCTTTAACAATCCTCTTACTGCCATTGCAGAGATAATAAAACCACATACAATTTGCAAAAAATTTCTTTAATTATAATTAAAAAAATTTATTGTGTTATTTTTTGAAAAAAATATTTCTATTCGCTTGAATACTGATTCTCATAACGCACTTAACGGGAACCACAGGGTTTTTGTTACATGTTGTATATACTATACCAGGGTGACCTGAAAAGTTTCCGACCTCAACGTGAACATGACAGCACTCGTCAATAATAGTGAATGTATTTGTGCATTTTTGACTGTTACGTACGAAAATTTCAGCAATGTTGGACGTGTAGTTGTTGTTTGATAGTTGTTTGATTGACTCGATGTGAGTGAGAGTTTTTGTGAAAATGGAAATAACTGGATGTAATGGAGTAACGGGCTGTCTTTAATTTTCCTTGAACTCGAAAACCTCGAAAGTCCTGATAAAGTGATCAAATTGGAACAGATCCAAAAACTCAAAACGATCTTCATGCTCGGGGGAAAAATAGAAAAACTATCTTAAAGAACATAATGTACAAGAAATTTTTCTACTCTAGCTCGTAAATCAATTCAGTTCAAATTCAATCAGATGATAAAGATAAAAAAAATATATTTAAAAGTAATGTAGCTCTTATAGAAAAGTAGCGTGGGACAACTTCAGCAATTTTTCATAGGATAGTGTGGCAAACTAGCACACAGTCTACCTGATAGTAAGTGGTTGCCATGGCCCATAGACATCTACATCTGTCCTCAAATACGAATCAAAATGCAGATGCGTTGTCACCCGTGAGGACTATGATAGAATGCCTCGTTTCCAGTAAAAGGGGTCTCCGGTCCTCTACACTCACCATACGAAACACAGCAGCATTAGGTAACTATTTTACGCTGGTATTCTGTGAGAGCGTGGTCCTTCCCCGATCGAGCCGACCCATTCGTGCTACAACTATAGTACTAATATAACTACAGCATGGCTCTACTACGTATAAAGCTATTTTATCAGTCCGCTAAAGATCGATATTCGTGGATCTTCATCACGCTTGGCAGGTTAATTCGTTCCTAGTACCAGACCTCTTGTACCAGACACTTGTGTAGACACTGCTCATAGTTGCCGTTCTGGATATTTCATGTCAAGCGTATGAGATGGTAATACTGCCGTTAATCAAAAGCCATGAGTTCTTTCAAACGAGCTCAACACTATAATGGAATTAGATGAAATTGTGTTGTCGTTAATGGAATTTATTTCCGTTATTTTGCGTTTGGTTTGGACTTTTTTCCAGATAACTGTAGGTGAGCATCGAACATGGATAAGTTTCCGACATGAGAAAACGATATCCATGAAAGTGTAACTTTACAATAATGGATAACTTCTGAACACTCGGAAACAATTTGAATATTATTTTGAAATTTGACTAATATTATTTTTTTTCCATGTTCGTATTGAACAAAGCAAAATGGATGCAATTATTTTCCTCAAAAATGACACTACAAGATTTATTTTCGGTGTGTTTTTTTAAATGTAAATTGTTAAAGAATGAAAAAATTTGCAAATAAAAATTATTACTATTAAGGCAGATGACACGACGGTAGTAAGTGGCGCCTGTGGTGCGACGCAATAGCCAAGAACCTGCCGTGACCAGATCCTCACTGTGCAGGTCACAGAGACCACGAGGTGCTTCGCTTTTTCCTCCACTGTTTTTTATTGTCCAGGTGAAGCCACGGCACACGAAACGCTCCTCCATCTCGCATGCTGTTTTACACTAAAAAATATACTATAGCAGTTGGTACCGATTATCGCCATAGTTTTTGAATAATTATTTTAACAGTCATCACCATTATCATCAATGTAAGTCCCTGGATGACCGATGATGATGATGATTTTTTTTGGAAATCGTGTTTTTTGGAAATTATATTTAGATACAAATTATATCTTACTTATGAAATATGAACAATATTTTTCGATCTTAACGACAATAAAATAAATAAACTGGTCATTTAAATAAAAAAATCATGAGTGCAATTAGTTTAATTTTATTTTTCGTGTTTTCAAAAAACATACTAAAAGAAGGGCTCGAAATAATAGATTTTCTCACAAAAGAAGAGAACTTGAAAAAAAATTCGGATCGAAGTCATCTGAAGACTCGAACCAGAGTACTACAATTGCGGGACCGCCCGATATCTCATTTGAGCTATTAAAACCCGTAACGCGGCAACAAAATTTATCTTCGTATCCTAATGATATTGTAGCAGTTTTTTACTGCCTGAAAACACGGATAAAACGATATTTTCTAAAAATGAATCCTAGCTAGATCGATTTGTTGCCCCCGAAACCCCCTGGACATTAAATTTCATGAAAATCGTTGGAGCCGTATCCGATTATATATAATATATCAACTCCCCGTAAATTTATTCAAGTCTAAATACACCGTGACTGAGCTTCCTCGTACAGCCATTAGGAGGGCCTCAATATCACTTTTGTTTTAAGGTTATGAAGATTACCGGACGAAATTTATCGCAATTTCCGATTTCGTTCAGGCTAATTGGATTCAACGGTTGATTTATTGAGCGCAGTTGGACTTAGGTAAGTCATTTTGTCCGAAGCAAACATATTCGTCAACAAACTCGAATGTAGTGTTCCCAGCAACTATTAGTAAAGGTACATAGATGTTAGAAGTAATATGATATCTAAAATACACCGTGTCCATGTTCTTTTTAAAACCTATTCACCCACTATTTAAGTGTTTGAGCACAGTGCTATGTTCCTCCAGCTATTCTACCCGTACCAGTCATAGTAGGTAAAGCTATTTGTCGTTTTGCCTTGCTCGGCTGGCGGGTTGACTATCGGAGTTTATTAGTTAGCTTTGTAATATCTAACTAGAGTGTTACTTAAACTGATAATTAATTGAATGACAGTATGTATAGCATATCCGCAGTAGAACCAGAGTGACCGACATAGCCCAACGGATTAGTAAGCTGAAGTGGCAATGGGCTGGCCATATATAGCTCGAAGAACCGGTAACCTATGGGGAAAAAAGGTTCTTGAGTGGCAGCCTCGTACCGGTAGGCGTAGTGTAGGGCGACCGCCCACTAGATGGAGTGATGACCTGGTAAGACATGCAGGAAGTCGATGGATGCTGGTGGCTCAGAACCGTGCTTTGTATCATTACTTGGGGGAGGCCTATGTTCAGCAGTGGACTTGTGAAGGGTTGTAATGATGATGATGTTGATGTATAACAAATTATAAACTTAGGTATATTATGGGCCGATATAGTTCTTCTTATAATTGCTGATTCCTTTTGGAGATATCTACTACTATTTTTGTATATGCGTTCTTTATTATTTATATTTTCTTTTTATTTACAATATTAAAGTGAAACAGTACATCTGAAAGTAAATAGTTGCTACACCTCAATGATCAATCGTCTGCAACCAACTACATACCAAACAACTTTATAGGTGACATTTGAAACCAATGTGTTTAGAAGGAACGCTGCAAATTATGCACTTCTATTGGCTTTCTTCCCTTAAAACCGGAATACATAGTGGATGCAATACTGCTTTGTGTTGCGGTAGAAATTGGAAGAAAATAAGTGGAAGAAAGCAAGGTTTTCTTTTAACTACACTCCTAGACAAAAAAGGTTAGGTAAAGTGTTTACGTACACGTGCCACTGCTGGGCACAGGACACAGACCTAAGAAAAGCGGTAAACCTACGCCTTCGCTTCACTAGGTCTCTACTGCGGGAGACGTTGTGAGAAGAAGCAGCAAGAAAGCACAAGTAGACTATTTGGATTCCAACAAATCTCTCATTTCCGAGAGAGTTAAGGAGCATAATTGAGCAGAATGCAGTAATTGCATCGCACTGCTCCGGTATGTGTTTACGGACATATCCTTGAAATACTGTATTTCCGATCAATGTTTTCAACACCATGAGAGCGTGGTGCATTTTAGTACTTAAGTACTCACGCAATTTACGGACTAATACAATATAATTAAATTGTTGCTCGCAAAGATCGAACAAACAATTCGCTCACATACAGTGAAATTCAGGGAGAGCGCTTAGCTACTCAGTTTAAGTTTAAACTTAATCTTTCAGTCGAAAAGGTTAAGTTTAAACTTTTATATCAAGAACAACATTATGATTAAAAATTAATTAATATAAATATTAATCAATAATAATTCATAAAGCAATATAGTTCGTAAAGGTAAACTTCTTTTAGCACGATATTTAACGATACAAGTTTAAAGAGAAGTTATTGCTAACAGGTTTTTATCTTAGAGTTTACCAAGTAGGTTAAGAACTAGTCGCAAGCATGCCTGCCGATAATTTTACGCAAGACTTTGTAGGACCGTGTCCGTGCATACAACATGTTTTTTATTTTAACTTCATTGAATTTACATTTGTTTTAGCTTTAACAATAAGTGAAAAAATACTTAGGCTTGGAGCGTTTGTTCCGTGCTAACTGGATGGCCGCCTGAGATTTCATAGCACCTGAGCAAACTGAGTTCAATTCAACTAGCATTACTACATAAAAATCTGTATGTCTGAATACTTAAAAGTATTTCGAAGACGTGTGACGCAGCCTTCAAACCGCAGCATCGCGACGTATCCTCCACCACCCCCCATAGTAACACCACAAAAAAATTTATTTATAAGGACATAAACCCAAGTGTAATGGAACTTTTAGTTTAAACTCAATTAATACTACTTAAGTTATAATAATAATATGGTATGTACTACTAAATTTATAATAATAATAATATGGACATACTAAAATTCTACTAAAAAAGTATTAAAAGGATTTTAAATATTTAACATTACTCCCAATTGTGGTATTATAAAGCTCAATATACACCACTGCAGAACGGAATGGATTTTATGTGTTGTATGTTTGTAGTATATGTATATTTTGTGGTTATATATATATATATATATATATATATATATATATATATATATAATTTATTATTCTTAAAAATATATGGGATTTCCGCAAAGTAACGCCTGATTCTATCAATTAACACCAATGTGCCCTAGCCTTGTCATTTTTTCTAATCCTGTCCATTCACTGGTTGTCTGGAAGAAATTGCTATTAGCAATGAGACCGGCCATTGCATACTTCTTTAGTATATATAATTAGTAATTTTATATATGGTGTGCAATAAAGAATATTAAATAAATAAATAGTAAAAAAGAAGTTGCACGTCTTCCGGGGAATTATCGAGGATTCCCGTAGCTACTGTCGATGAAGTCTGTGGAAATGGCCCATAACTAGTTGCACAATTAACATAACACTCATTTTATTATGTACAATTTCGTTACAAAAATTTGCTTCCATTCCATTTCGCAGCAGTAAGTTTCGTAAATTGAGCCTTATTTGAAAAAATATAATACGGGTTCGATTTCCGCACGACATAGCTATTTACACCGTTGCATAGTCTACAAATACCTACGAAAATATGTTTCGGCTCTGATGTCTGTTATGTCCCATATACGTAAAATGCCTCTACGATGCAGGAAGAATTCCTTGTGTGTAAAATTTTAAAAAATCGCTATGCGTACAACACCGAGAGACAGTTTACGTAAGTGTTAATTAAAATAATATGTAAATACGTGTCACGGCACTGTCGTCGCACCATAATCGAAACAAACCGAGGCCTAAATCACGCTATTGAAGTTTCCAAAACACTCTTCAATGTATAGAACAAACTCCATACTTTCTATTATCCGTGGTAACGGGAGCGTTGAGCGGAAATTCTTTCCTTTCTTTTGACTGCCAAAATAGTGACTATGATATGAATTATGAATAACCAAAGCAATAGGTACTTAAATTTCATAATAATTAATTAGTCTTACCTCATGTTTTGTTATATTGTTTGTTGTCAAATCAACGTGTTTTAATGTTTGATTATAATATTCCTCATAAGAACATCTGTCTATTCTCTTCGGATCTGAAAATTAAAAACATTATAACGATGATTTAAATAAAATGAAGTTTTTAGGCGAGAAAACGCGACTGTAAATGTAACCTCCTTTAACTTTGACTGAAATGGCCATTTGCTAGCTTGTTTATCACTGGAATGTTATAAAATAAGTTAATATTATAAATGTTTCTAAAATAATATTACAGGTTTATTTATTTACTTAATTATTCTTTATTGCATTCCTTAAAACAAAAGGATACAAAGGGCGCACTTAGTGCCTTGAGGCATTCTCTAACAGTCACCCCATGGCGTGGTAAGAATTTTTAGGTGTATCAATAAATAATAAAAAACAAGTTTTTTTTCTGTCTTGTAATACGATTGCAAAAAATACGTCAGTTACAACGATTATCGTCTAAGTTATTTATAATTACTCACAGTCATGGTCGCACTGGCTCTCAATATAGAACGTGTAGTAGTTCGACACGCGGTACGACTCGGGTTCGGTGAATTTGTTCTCTACGTTTAATAAACAGTTGCCAATGCCAGTCGTAACAATTTCAAACGTACTTAAATTGTTCTCAGGTTCAATCCATTGCGCAGAACTGTACAGAATGGTAAAAGCTATATTACAAATCCTAATCGGAGTTGATTATTTACAACGGAGCACACTAAATGTGTAAGCTTGGCTTGTACGTTGCGGAAATAGTTGTGATATGGCATGGCAGCACTTCCTTGCTTTTAAAATCTCAGCAATGAGAGGAGCTCTGTACCCAGCACGTTCACGATCGTAAGCTCGTAGGGCCGTACCTCAATCTACTACTACCAGTCGGTTATCGAAGGTATCTAGATTCTAGGCGGGGCAATCGTGCGGTGCGGAGCAGAGCGATCCCGAGCGGCCGTTAGTCGCTAGGGAGCTGTCCGCTAGGGTTCGGTCGTCCTCATTTAAAGTTATTACAACCTGTTTTTATTATTACTGAACAAGAGTTATTTAATTTGTTTAAACATGAAATAAAATAAAATCAAACCGCAGCATCGTAGCGTATCTTAAACTGAACAATAGTTGTAATTTGTTTAAACGTGAAATAAAATAAAACCTGTTTTTATTTTTTATTACTTCCCGTTCTGACAACCTTAGCAACTTATTGTTTATGTCGGCTTTTCCGACAATATCAAAAGCAATAACTGACTGGCTGTGCCCGTATTTCACGGTATGACATTTTAACCGTGGCATTTTGGTTTTATCTCTATATCGCAATAATGTAGCAGATATCCATTCAAGAGGCATTTAAAAGCAATGACGGTGTTATTCTCAACTTCTACTTGAGGTAATGAAAAAAGACGAGGGTGCTATTTAGTCGGTCGCCACTATCAAATTCCCATTTGGTGACTAATTATAACTTTATTTTATTTTTTGTTTAAACGAAAACTTTAATACCGATGGCAATTAGATTGTAAACGATGTCGTCTTTTTATCTTGATATGAGCAACGACAAACAAGCGACATATTATGTACGATCATTAGAACGCACACAAACATACACACATAAGTATTACGCACACAAACGTCCTATAAAACAGTAAAGTCTGACTGAATATTAACTTAAAAATATCAGACCCATCACAACAACCTACATATTATGGCCGCGCGCAGAAGTTTTGCCAATGATCACCGTTCCCAATTCCGCCTACTGCGTCCCCCGCTTGCTGCCCAGAACCGCTGGCTTTCATGTACGCGTGACGTCATGACGCTATCGGGAACTTTAGAGTCCATTCTATGCTGTGACAAATAGACATCTGCAGCTATCCTTGATTAGCAATCAAAATGCAGATGCGTTGACGACCCTGAGTGATAACATGGAATGCCTGGTTTCCAATAAAATAGGTCTCCGGTTCTCCACACACATTAAGCTGCTTTTTAAGCTTTTATATGTATATGGTCTTTTTCCTGGCGAGCGGACCCATTCGCGCTATAACCACGATATAGCTGCTGCGTGATTTACCCCATATTATTCTATGAAGTAGAAGAAGCATACTCTTTCCTTAACTTAAATTGAATTTTGACCAACTTGTCACAGTACCTACCGATATTGATTAATTCCTTCCGCAGAGAGAAGGGCTTTGTAACATTGCTGTTCAGTGAAATTAAGTAGAGATTTTCCTCTCGTATCTGACTGCAAGTAATAGCCCGGAGTACTCTCTAAAGCCCACCAGCGATTCTTACACCTTAATGGCACTGTACAAAACAAAGAAACAATTTAAATGAAGTGAAAGAGAAATGAAATTTACAAAAAAATAAAAAAGCCAATGACGCTGCCACGGTACAGGTTTAATATTGTTTTATACACCTTTTGCAATGACTGGTTAATCCTATCGTTCGATTATGAAGATGTGGTGGCTCCGGGACTTGCGTAACACATAATAATAGAAACCGCGTGTATATCATTTATTGATTTATTCGGCGTCATCATTATAGTGATATCACGTTTACCAGTCGTTTTATTTGATCTTAAAATAAGCAATCAGAATCTAAAGATCTAGTTCAAACGCCATGTTCCTCAGAACGTGCTTCAAGATCAACCAAATCACTACTGGCACTTCAACCTCTGTTATGTCTGGGTTACAAAAGGATACAAATACAAATTTATAAATAGACATACAAATTTTACATACATATGAACATACATATTAACCGTGTAGTGGCGGTGTATGAATATTCAGTACCCTATATCATCCCGTGGGTGTCGTAAGAGGCGACAGAGGGAATCTGAACCAGGTGACGGGCAGCAGCATCTCTGACAAGAATCTGAATACGAGGACGACACTTTACACACGTTTTACCACAGGATTGACGATAGAATTTTGCGGCAAACGTACATCTCTTAAAGACATATAAACCTTTGGGTCAATCTGGTATAAATACATATATTTTGGGTTGCGTTTCACTGTCGAACACCTTCGAAGCAGACGAGGGGGACATGGAAGGGTGTAGGGCAGAAAATGAAATTATTAAGTCACTCCCCATTATACTTTAAGAAGGTGTCCGACTGTAAAAAATGACCTACATTTCAAACAAACTTTGCTGAAATAGGCGACATCGTTATCGCCACGCATCTTTCCAAATGCCTCATTGACGCCATGACAGTTTCCATTGCTGTACTCCACCACAACAGCAGCGCAATCCTCCAGCTCCCGACACCTTGCCAAGCACACTCCCGTTAAGGATTCCTCTTCTCCGCTGGCTGCATACATGAACACTGGGGCGGCACGTTCAGGGGCCACTCCTGTCCAACGCACGAAGGACAAGCTCTCACCGTCGTTGCACTGTGCACTGCTACCTTAACAAAAAAGCTGTTTTAATTCAATTGAGCTATTTAATTTTCAGTTCCCTACCTACCATATGATCCATGTTGAAAATCATAAGATCATATATAAAGGTATATTTTATAAGTGGTAGAGCCACGCTACAGTTATATTATTTATGGTTGTATTATGGTATTATGGTTGTGGGTCGGCTCAACCGGGTCGGTCGGCTCAAAGTCGGGATTTTGGGATTGCTGTCGGGAGAAATAAATATTAAAAATAAAAAGTTATTTTTTTAATTAAGAGGCTACAAAAAGTGCTTTAAACAAAACTAATTTAAGTACATTTAATTTATAGGTTACCATATGTATTTGGCATAAGACTTTACTAGAGTCCACCAATTTGGATCCTTTAGTAGTGTTCAAAAAATATTTAAAATTCAAACAATTTACTTCAAAGCTCTGTCTAATTACTAACTCGGCTTTTATATGATGTTTGTCTGGAGATCTTGAGTTTTGTTGGGAGTCTGGAGATCATTTAAAATGTCGAGAGAATCCAGACAATTCCGACCGTTTGGCAGCCCTGCACCCAGACCCGGAACAATTATTCGTAGGCCAAAAACGGTTCGTGCGGGATTCCAACCCATGGCTCTCAGTGCGTAACTCATTGCTAAGACATTGTTCCACTGGACCGTAATTTCGATTCTTAATTGAGGTTTAGATTTAAATCTCTTTGGGCCTCGTCATACACGTACCATCGGGTGGATTGTGTGCTCTTGCCATCTATGTTCTATTAAAAAAAAAAACGCCTTCATTTGCTTCTGGTCGGAGACATGTTCTTTACATGTTTCAAGTACATATTTGCGTTTTCACATTTCATTTTTTACATAAAAGTAAAAAATATTTTAATAACTAAAGAATTGGCCGGGGTCAATGTTTCGAGGACTACGAAAATAAATAAAACGAGACGAACCGCAAAACCAGTCTGTGATTGATTGTTTACTACAAACATTAGTGATGTGACATGTAATGTCGATATTCGTTTTGTAATTAAGGAGCGGCTACGATTGATCGATAAATAAATAAATGAAATATTTGATAAAAATAACGAAAACATGAATAAGTCTCCTTTTTGAATTTCATTTTGGTCACAAAACGATATTCCATTAACGCTATAATCTAGGGTGTATTATGCAATCGCACTAAGTCTTTTTTTTAATCATAATCTCATCAGTCGAAAACGAAAATGCTTTAACTCAGTGCGCACGAGTTTTAGTATTTAAAGTAAAAATTTTTTGCCTTCGTTATTGATTTTTTCTATTATCTTATAACATTCATTATACAAAGAGAAATCATCGATAAATATTTAATTTTTTTATAAAGTGATAGAATATTAATATACAGAGTAGTGTAATAAAGTAGATGGTAAATCGATACTCGCAAGCAAGATATTGTCGATATCACGTGTATCACAACGGTAATAACCTGGTCTAAAGTTCAGTTGTAACTTAGAGTGCGCTTGAAAGGACTAAAAATCGCCAATATATTAAAGATAAATAATTTGTTAATCTGTAAACAATTTAAATTAGCAGTATAAAATTAAGACGATGGTAAGTAAAAGAACCAACTGTTTGAATTATCATTATTATATTATTAGATATTAACAATGCACTTTGTGTTTATTATGATACCGTGATGGAAAACACCCTTTTCGTAATACAGTAATGTGTTGCTTGACAATAATTTGTGTACGAAATTATTATCAAAATTTGAGATGCTGCCCCTTCACTGACCTCTATATATACAAGTACGCTGGACTGGCTATACCATACAAAATGACTGTGCCAATTTGAAGCGCCGCTAAAGAATGTCTTGAAAAATAAAATTGACGTAATATGCCAAAGTCTGTTGTCCCATTTATATTGTCTTATTTCATAAGTCTTTATTTCGAACTTTTAAACTAAAAAACGAAAGTAATTTGTTGTTTGATTGTGTATAATATTAGTTACATAATAAGAATTATTTTTATTTAATAATGAGAGTGTGCGTAAGCTGTAAAAATCATTACATAAAGGAAAGTGGTATAACATTTCACAAGTAAGAATTTGCAGCAAATATTAAACAAATTAAAACTATTTGATAATATAAGTAGTTAAAAATTTGTTACTAATCTTAATATCACATATACCAACATGTTTGGGTGTATATTACTGAGTTTTGATAAACAATAAAATTAAATAGGGTTGTCGAGTTCCTTGTCTATAATACTTATCGATGTTCTTTCCTACCCATATGTGTTAACAAAAAAGTCGCCAACAATGGATGATTATCAAATGTTTATTAATTAACAGGTTTCCAACTGAACCTAGACTAAAATTATGGCTTAAAAGCATAAATATTGTGTATTGGCGTCCGAAACAAAATGATCATGTTTGGAACAAATAGATTATTATTTCGAATGTTTTTTTATTTCTTATTTTCTCATTTTCCACCAAACTCAAGGGCCATAGCCAAGTGTCGAAAAATCGCCTGATCATGTCGAGCCACGTTGGATGTGTGTTAGTGGGCTGCGGCTAGAGGAGATTCCTCTCCCTGGACCGCTGTAGTCGAGGTGGAGTCGTAAGGGAAGAGGAGTGTTGGTATGGCGATTGGCGATGCACCACTTGACTATCTTTCGCGACTTTGGTGAGGCTGCACCACTTGATGCTTCCAAGTGTTCGTTTTTGCCTGGCTCCATTCACATATCGGGCTCGGGAAGTTCGTAGTGCAGCTCGTATCTCTATAAATGTTTCCTCGGTTTAAGATCTTTGTAGAATATTTAGAGACGATACCAGGAGACCCAACAGTATGGGTTTGGTTGCTTGAGAGAGAGAGAGAGAGAGATAAAGCTTTAGTGTGGGATATTACTTGCGAACACTTTGACAGCATCCCATCTCAGGGGTACCTCGTCTAAAGCAGGGGTGGCATTAGAGGCAACTGAACCAAGTAAATAGCCCAGAGTATCTGGAAGATAAGTACATATTAGTGCAATTTGCTGTAGAGACTATTGGTCCGTAGGGTGCACGTGCGGTGTAGTTCCTAAAAAACTGTATCTGCAACTGATCATCGCTGCTGGTAATAAGAAGTTGTTTAGTTTATTGTTTCCTCGCTTGAAGGCTAAGTATAGCCATTCCGTGAGGAGTGAGGACACGTAGCCAGCATTCTTGGGACGATACCACAGAAAGTAGGACTTTATGATAATTTCAGTTATTTTTTTATATTGTAATTTTAATTTCGAAAATGACGTTGTTAATAACTGATAACTATGTAATTCAAAGTTTGTATTTTTTATATTATCTTGCTAGCTCGTACCCGGCTGCCATGGCTGCCGCAGAAGAAATAATTGTGGAAATATCGTTAAAATGTGGAACAGTTATATTGTATAATTAGGAATGAAAATAAAATCATTGAATTAGAATGATATATAACTTTCTATAACTTTCAAATAAATAGTCGGTATAATACGCACGCCACCTAGTGTCAGTTAATTGTACCATGCGTATAATCTTCGCACAAGTGCAACCAATAAGTTGACTAAATTTGACCGCAATCTGATGAACGGTATGGCATGGTAGAAAGTACGAACAAACATACATTTTTATATAGTAGAAAATATTTTACTGTCTATAGACAAACCTGTAGTTGATTATAATAGGCGTTATTATAGCAGCTGATTAGTTTTTTATAATTCCAGAACTAAATGAACGGTTGACAATAAATTATTTTAGAAATTATGTTTTTATTTTTATTTTGTGTAGTTAGTTTAATCTTAATAATTTTTAGTTGAATGGTCTAAGGGCTACAATGGCTATCCGAGTACAGAACCAGAATAAAAAACTAGTCCAACTGTAGAGATGTGTAAGACAGGGTGTCGTAATATCCCCGAAATAGTTTACCGTTGCATTGGAAGACGTTTTCAAGATACTGGACTAAAAAGGAAACGATATCAACGTCAATGGCGTGTACGTCACTCACCTTCGTTTTACCGACAATATAGCCCTTAATGCAGAATCGCTGGAGGACCTACGCACTATGTTCAATGACCTCAATCGTGTCTCCCAACGGATAGATCTTAAGATGAACATGGACAAAACAAAAGTCACGTGTAATGTCCATGTCACACATATGCCGGTGGTTTTTGGGAGCATTTAGCTGAAGTTGTTGACGAGTATTTTTACTTGGGACAAATAGTCCGACTAGGCAAGTTCAAATTCGACCGACAGGTCAATCGACGGATTCAACTCGGCTGGGCAGCGTTCGGGAGATTACAACACATCTTCTCGTCAGGAATACCTCAAAACTAGATTATACAACCAGTGCGTGTTGCCAGTGATGACCTCGATGACGTATGAGGAAGCTCGAAGTCGCTCAGCGAGCTATGAAGGGGGCTATGCTCAGGGGTTTAAACTTAGGAATGAAGATATCTGCAGCAGAACTAGAGTGACGGACACCACCCAATGGATTAGTAAGCTGAAGTGGCTCAGGACCATGCTTTATGGCATTCCTTGGGGGAGGCCTATGTTCAGCAGTGGACTCGTGAAGGGTTTTAATGATGATGAATGATAATGGCATTATATTAATATGTAGAGTAGGTAGTAGGTAGAGTCCATCTATCCATAGAGTCAATTCTGTTTATTTAGGTATAGGTAGGGTATAGAATTTTTATCGATATAATTTGGTACACTGTCTTATCCCTATTATTAGTTCCGTGGACGTGCACTTCTGCTGTCAGCGCCAAAATGGCGGAAATCAAATTGCTTCAGCATGTCACGTGTACCAGCCAGTCCAGCGTACTTGTATATATAGAGGTCAGTGTGCCCCTTCGACTCAACAGTTACTTACATCAAAAGTATTGTAACTATATCTACTAAATGACATTGAATAGCGTCATTGAATATGTAATATTGTGTCGTGGTCATGTATAAGTGTATGTAGACGAAACGATATGAATCACAGTTTTATTGTGCTATTGCTATAAGAAACAAATAAATGGTACG